GGGCTCCCTCCAAGCACATGGTCCAGTTGACCTTTGACATCGTGCCACTCCCCTTGGCCAAAGATCACAAGGTGTTATGTAACAAGTGACTTGCAATCTGTGCTGCTGCCATGCAACCAAGTCCCCTGGGCTCAGGGCTGATAAGCTGGGGGTGGGGAGGGGGGGGGGGGGGGCAGCTTTTGGGCATAAACCATGGTGGAAACCAAAGAGTATAGTTTCCTGTTTAGTGCAAAGAGCAAGGGATAAATCATGGATAAACAGACACCCTCCAAACACACTTTCCTGTCAACTCCTCATTTTCAATATTTTCTGCTGAAGATAATTTTGTGTGCCTTTGAGGAAATTCTGCTAGGATGTAATGCCAGGTCCTCTCTAAGGCCAAAAAAAAAATATTCGGTCTCTGGTCAGACCAAAGTTCCGGAATTGACACGGCCACGCGGCTTTTTTTTTTTTTCTTCAAGCTTGGATTGTACAGACAAGGTGGGTACTATTTTGCTTTTTTGGTGTCCTCATGTACATTGGTGTCCTCCATAATTTGCCTTGGTGCTTTCGATCATTTGCCTTGGTGCAATTTCCCATTCCTTGGTGCTCTTTGGTAAAATAAAATTGAGGAGGTGCGGAAATAGAGGGCGCTGTTGGAGCTACCGCGGAACATTTTGGAAAAAAAAAGATCGACGCGCATGATTAAAATCGACGCGCGCGCTGACCAGAGACCGACTTTTTTTTTTTTTTGGCCTAACCTACAAGGACACACCAGGCCATTATCTGTTTAAGATTTTAATACATGTATTTCTGGTAAATCCAGTCAATTATCAGTTTGCAGCAGTTTCATTCGTTTTCTTTGTTAAGGATCTACATGTAACACTAGTTATTTGCAAACCATAGCTTCCATGGCACTGGATTTCGCAAAGAATTCGGATTTTAAAAAGAGGGAAAAAAAGTGTCAGGGCATGCAGGAAAAGGGATTGAAAAAACTTCAATATTGAAACTGTTTGACTTTGAGACTTTTAGATGAAAAAAATAACCTTGCCCTGCTGGCTCTTTACACCTAAATTATTAGAAGTTCATTATTTCCACACACCATAGCCTAAAATGTGATAAAATAGAATATGATGTAAATAAAACTCAAAAGGTCAAGTCGAAAATTCCAAGCAACAATTTTCTTATATCATGAATGCACATTTGTAACTTACATGCACATGTACATGTACATGTACAATACTATAATTTCCACCCATGCATACTATACATACGTGTACATGTACATTGTACGTTACATGTACGCCTATGCAATTGAGTCAAATGTCCAGCTTGGGGCCTTGGGACATGTTTACACAGCTCACTACCTGCTAAACATGTTACATAACATGTGGACTAAGAGCATGCAGTCTGTGCATGATGTCCAAAGCATACATGTACATCATTGCAGAAAGCAATGGCAGCATCACTATGCATATACATGTACATTGTACATGTACATGTACCTGTATGTGCATGAGTTCCCTATACTCCAAGATGTACACATGGAGAGTATAAATGTAAATTGTAATGGAGCAGAAAATGAAATGTTATGCACTAAAACTGTAACAGGAAGACTTGTACCAGTAATTTTAAAGCACAAACCTACCGGTACCGTAGGCATGTACAATAACATGTTTATGTATTACATAGCCTTCACATGCATGCTTCATCATGATGGACATTTTTGAGTGATAATAACCAAAATCACAGTTTTATTTGTGCTTCTGGACATTACCAAAAAACAATATATTGTTGTCAGTAGGGGGGGGGGGGGGCACCCCCCCCCAGCAGTGACTGGAATTTTCTAAAGGCCTTTTTTCACTTGAGAGAGCCCTTCTCCCCCCCCCCCCCCCCCCCCCCGACAAACCCCCCATTCAATATTTCAGTTACCCACATATTGGGTTTGTTTGAGTTGAGTTTTCCTACTCTAAAAATATGCATGAGTCATTTCCTTTTTGTCAAAAAAATTTATCTAATCATCGTTAATTAATTTTTCTCACGGCTGCTTCTGCTTGTTTGTCCTGTATGCTTTAAAAAAATGTTTTTAGAATTGACAATATATTTGAAGAGATGACTTTTCAAGACCTTTGTCACAGAAGTTTAATTTGGGTGTATCCATACAACTCATGGGCTACATGTAGATCAATTCTCAGAAATTAGTTAGTCATCAGTCTAAAGAGGATGCGGCTGCTTCCATTGTATACAGAAAAATTTATTGATTATTTGGAGGCAACAGGCAGAGCACATGTGATGGGGGGGGGGGGGGGGATGAAATTAGATGTAAAAAGTGCTGGGGTAAAATGAAGTAACACAATCAATTTGAGCTGTTGCAACCACAGAGTCATATTTTTCACAAACTTGGAATGCATTTTTCTAAGAGAAAAATAATAAAGCAAATCTGTATTTCTGTGCATGTGTTAGTTTAGTGATGGCCTTTTAAAGGTACACATAAATCATTTGCATTTTGTTCATTTTTCATTTATTCCTTTTGAACAACAAAATTGTTCAAAGTCTACCCCGTGCTCTTAAAAAAATTGATTTTTTTCCCTCGTAACGAATTTTCAATTTGGATGTTTTGTTTTCACACAAAAAATACCATAATCCGATTTTGGGCATCTACAGTACAACCCTTACAAAAAGGGCTTTCATTTTGTGCATGAATAAACCAGCCCTACATGAGCTGACCTATAGTCTGGCAGCCAATAATTCCAGGCCTTTCTTCCCTTTAGCAAGGTTTTTCTCATTAAATTTGTAGAGAATAATTACAAGTGAATGACTTTTTTTTCTCCAAAATACGATATATCCATTTTAAAAAAGTTTAGAAAGTTGTACGGTTGTGAAAGCATACAGTTGTGTCTAAACTTCATATTTCACTTTATTGTATTCTTAAATTGTGTTTAACTGTAACAGTTGTTGAAACTGACTTTGGGCAGCCAATAGAGGGCGGGATTTTAAAGGTTACCAAATGGCATTTATCGCATATTGGAAACAACTCGGTACTTGTTCAATGTTCAAACTTGCCTTTCAAGGCTTTTTAAAAATAGTTTTTTCCCCTGCTCTGTCATCTCTGCAAAATGTATGTTAACATCTAAGTAATGTAATTTTGCAACTTTTGTTTTCTGTTGAAGCCCATCACTTATTAAAAAAAATTGGATTTCTCCATGATACACTGTCCTCATACAGGTTAACTTGGGGAAACTTCCTGCACTAAAATTCTTTCCCTGAATGCTTATCAGAGATCAACAGACTACCAACCAATCCCATTCTGCCACGCGTTATCACCTCTGAATTATGGAGGGAGTCGTTTTTAAGAGATAAAAAAAATGAAACACCTCCCTGGGCCCTCTGTATGTGCATTTCCCACGATTACATAATGTGCTTGGAGGATTATTTTATGTGCTTGCACAACTGTGATATTCTCCACATGGTAATGTGTAATGTACAGTGTAAAATAGGAAAATGCTATGGAAATGTATACCGGCATTTGGGATTAATAATTATAAGCAGTCTGTTGAAGGAGAAATAATTTAGCAAAGCTCTTCAATTCATGAATTTAGTATGCACTTTGAAATGGTAAAATTTACATGAGAATTGAGATACAAATGCATAATTTGTATCATACATGTTTGTTGCAAACCCTCAGATGGGTCTGGCATTTTTGTTTGTTTGTTTGTTTGTTTTTTGTTCGTTTGTTTGTTTGTTTTGGGCTGTATTTTACAGTCACTAGGTACACTAGGTCACTAGGTACTGTATGTCTTTCATAAATAACCACATTTACAAATTAAAAAAACACGAAATATAAGCACTTTATTTATGTGAGGCATTTTTCAAGGAAAATACAAAAGCCACCACAGCTATGATTATTACAAAATATATGCTGAATAACAATAACAAATTGCTACCAATTGCATAGCTCATTTGCCAGTTGGAATTGCCCCCCCTACAACTTTTCAATTTTTGCATCATTTTAGAATTCTGTTTCTTATTTTTTTACCTTTTGTGAAGGTTTTTTTTTAGTCTTTTAGTTTTAATGAAACAAGTTGTTTCTGTGAATTGTTGAGAAAACGAAAGACAATTAAACAATTAATGGCATGTATGTAATTTTGTAAGCTTTATCCATAGTTAATCCATGTGTTCTCCCAATTTTATTTTTTTAATTTTTTTTGTTTTTACAAAAAGAGACTCAAGGTTTGAACCATGAAACAAAGTTGATTGAAGTATTGTGTTCAATCGATATTTTTAAAGCCTTCTTAAAGAATGTTAAAAAAATCATGATGCATATTGCAGAACATTTTTAAGTTACCTTTTCTAAGGATGTAATTTAAACAAAAAGTTGAATGATACCGTTTTAAATATCTACTGATGAACATTTACCTTCATGAAAACTAACACACAAATAGGAGATTTCAATTGTGATTATCTTGAATCATTTTTTCCCTGTTCATTTCTCCATAGACTATTATTACTATTAGACTGATACTTGGCAGATGACATTGCAAAAATGGGATGTCCTTTTCTTGGTTTTTTTTTTAATAAAAAAAAATTAAGATTCCTAGTTCTCAGTTCATCAGTGTGGTCTTATTTATATCATTTACTTCCTCCAAATGGCTCAGTAGTCCAAATCCCTGGCACCAGTTATAGACTTTAATTGCATTCCATATAGCCATTGTTGAGGGATTTCATTGTGAAATAACTGTTCCCTTTTTTGTGTGTGACTCTTTACAGAGACCTCCCATTTTGGGTTCTAGCTGGCTAGCTAGGCTCTTTTTTTTTTTAAAGAATTGTCTGAATAATAAAGCCTTAGAATAAACACTATAGAGATTCAGCCTGGGCTGTTTGCATGCCTTCATTTATATTCACAGTGCTTTGCAAGATAGTGCCAGTGTGGGGCTTACTGTACATACATAGCATACATGCCTTTATTGTGCAAGCGTGGCCCAAGCTAACAATTAAGCTGTTACGTAACAGACCCTGCCAGCATGGCATCATGCAATGGGTGGCTGACCAATCACAGGCGCAGGAATTCCTTGTTCCTGGGCGGAACCGGTGCTGGGCTAGAGCGTCAGAAAGAGAGAGCTTGATATGTGGTCAGTTGATTTCCTGAAGTCGCTGGGACAAGGCTTGTGGTCTTTCCTCTTCCTGTTAATAAAAAAAACTAGCACACGAAAAGGTGTGCAGTGCAGGCTCTGGTACTAGCAGTAGCTGTTTGAAACACTCGCTCTGTAACTGAACCGCACCACACGGCACCAATCCATTTTGATGCATAGCTGCTTTGAATTTGTAAGTACATCTACACTCTTTCCTTGCTTTCTCCTCCATTTTGTTTCCAAGTATCTAATGTCTTAATAATTTCAAACACAGGGCTACATCATTTGTTAAAAACCTTAGGATAGGTCAAGCTGTATCATGTATGATCAGTCTTCATATTCACAGAGGCAAGTGTGAAAAACGGGATGTGAATTGCATCTTGTGTGTGCATATGCTGGCAAGGTTTCATGTGATTTGCATAATGACTAGACATGCTCCTAGAGCAGGCCTTGACCACAACTCCATAGGACTGGAGCCTTAAACAATCTGTAGTCACATTCAAGGTTTGGACGAAGCTAGTACAATGTATATTGAGTTCGTCATGGTTTAAAAGATGTGTACATTTTAAACCCCAAATGTATCTTAACATGTTGGCAGAGACTGTTTCAAATGCTAGTTATTTTGTGGTGTCATTGTAAATGCTAAATTGTGCTAAACTGTGAATTGTTCTAGGAATGCTGGGAATTTGGATGGGCATACCGGTAGTCTGATATTGGAATATGTGTTAAATTCAAATTAGAAAAGCTTTCATGTGTTTATACATGTACTGACCTCACTTTGTTTTCAGTCGAGTTCTAAAGAGGAAAATGAAATTGTGAATTGCTCTGAATATAAAAATATTAAGATAAGTTAAATTTAATTATACTTGTCCCCATGAACACTTGATGGCAGTGTTCAACACACATGTTTAACACCAACCTTCCCATAACCAATCCGGAAAGCTTCATGCTAATAATGTTAAAAATTCGGTGGTGGGAAAAAAGGGACCCATGTTTATGATGCATTAAAAAGTGAGTCGTGATACATTTCAACTTCCAAGCTGAGCAATTTATGTGACTGAACTTGACTGCCTAAATTTAACAAGAGGGCCATGTGAAAAAAGGTAGTATTCAAATTATCCAAACATGTAAAAAATGTCCGCAAAATAATAATTAATAGTGGATTTGTTCAAAGTACCCGTATGAATTTAAATAGCCCATAAGGTGGCTCAAATACTTGACTTCCTCCGTATTGTGAGCCACACAGTGGTCATATGCTATTGCTATGTGGGGAAGGTTTATTTTTAAAGAAATAAATTTGTTTCACTTGATATTCACCATGGAATTTGGAGGATACTTACCTGGTTACAAGCCAGGAAAAATTGAATTCTGTTTCTGTAGGTGTTTAGTTATCCTCTATTGAATTTTCAGGCAAAATTTGCAGCGAGAGTTTGTCCAAAAAAGATTGCAGTAATTTTCTCTGGGTCACAGGTCATGTACACTTGACCTTTTGATTTTCCCTGGCTAAACCAGGTAAAGTATCTTCCACATGTTGAATATCAAGTGAAAAAAACAGTCTTGAAGTCAATTTCCTCAAAATCAACTTTTCCCCCACACATGTTGGCCCACAAGACTAGGAAGAGAAGTAGGCCTATTTGAGCCACATTAATGGGGCTAAGAAATCAAAGTTAATGTACCCAAATTGGGTGACTGACTTAAATGGCCAACCCCTGTATTTTAAATATTGTCCAGTTACCATGGTTACCAGCCTCTTATCTACTTAAAAAGGTAGCATTTCTTTGCTGTCCCCTGCTGCTTCAATGCCAGGAATTTCCCACCTCAACAGGTGGCCCCCCCCCCAGTCCTTGAGAAATTCCAGACTTTGTATTATGTAATAGTGGAAGCTTTTGCAGGGGAATGGAATGTCAGGCTGTACATGTGTGCCTAATTTCAATGGCCTTGTGAGAAGGGCCCCCTCATACTGCAAGCCTGGGTGCAGCAACCATGCTTGCCTCTTTGTGGTCTGGCCTGTGCAAAGCTGAACCACAAGAGCTCAATTGAAAGTTTTTATGTAAAAGTTGAATCCTGGCTTTGCCTTAGAATTTATACCCGAAGAAGCAATTGTTGCAGCATCGGGTACCCGTTACTAGACTAGCGCGATTCCAAAATTCTGACTCTATAGAGGAGTCGTGAATCCATTTCTATCCAATAACCCTCTTGCTATTTAAACAGTTAAAGACAGTCAAAATTTCCATCCACCTAACTGTAGGGAAGACCTCCATAATTTCACCACTGAACGACGGAACTTAATCTCTATACTGTGTCATTGAAAGGAGTTGTATCTTATAGAATAATAATTTGCCACAAAAATAGACGTGCCGATTTATTGTTGAATGACCCAACAAAAATTGTTTTAGAAGTGTCTGAAATCTATTCTTGGGAGAAAAGAATTGTTACTACTGTGAATCAATACCAGACCTCTGAAAAGTGGTATCATGATTCCTGTTCCAACTTAGGAACCAATTCTAATCATTTCTGACTTGAAATCGCCCAAGATAATACCAGTTCCATCATTAAGTTATGCCCCAATTTTAGCAATGTCCCAACTAAAGTGAATTTGAGGTTAAAATTGCCTCAACCATAGACTGGTTCAGGATTCCCTTTTTTTTCTTGGCTGTTTTTGCTCCAGGTGATGTTCAGACTTGAATTTTGTCTGGAAGCTGTTGTCATTTGACATGTATCAATCAGTGCGATTTGATGTTTTTCTGTCATAAAAACTTCTGGCAAAAAAACATGAACAGAAGAACTTTTGTGAAGACAAAGTAATCGGTTGTTTTCTATGATGATTGACCAGGAAAAGTTAGTTGGCTCTGATTGATCATCTGTGATAATTATCAGATTGAAAATTCAGTTTTGAGTGAAGGAATTCTCAGTAAACCGAATTTTGTTAACCAAATGGAAAGATGGTGCTGTAAAGCATGCAACTTTGCCTCGGATCAGCTGATTTCTTCTATTTTTACTTCTCTTGTATCTTGCCATTTACCCTAACAAACCTGAATCCATCAAAATCCATACCCTGTTTTGGAGTATATCGACAGATTCAGGATACCTCCATATTGAAAATGGGGAATTTTGATGGATTCAGGATTGTAAGCCTAGCGGTACTGCAAGATTTTGATGGATTCAGGATACTTTACTAAGCAGTCGCCAACACCAATATTTTGTGTATGACAATTGGTGGATTTAGGCGGATTCAGAACACTTTCTAGTAAAAGTGCTCAAGCCTTGGGTTAGGGTTAAAAGGTGAAAAAAACGGCAACTTAAAATTAACTCTGAATTCGATGACTTTTCAGTTGCATGGCTGTGTAAAGTAAACTGTTTTTCTTCCCTCATATTTTTGTTGTGAGTAAACTAACAAGAACCATTTTGACTTCGACAGGTGGTACATCAGCACCAACCTCGCCAGCGAAGAAGCCCGCTATCGCCCCCAAACCTTCCTCGCTCAAGAGCCCACCGCTACCACGTAAGCAGAGCCATGGCGTCAATAAAAGCCCAGTCCCAACCCCAAAGCCACGCAAGCTGCAGGCTACGCAGAGCTCACCAGTATCGGTCGGGGCAGGAGGAACCGGGGGACCCTCGCCCATCAAGACCAAGACATTTCAGGCCGCCGGATCAGGACAACGGGCAAACAGCGAAGACTCTGGTGTCTTTGACCTGAGAGACAGTGCCGAATTGTCCAAGACCGAGCTGAACATCGCAAGTGAAGTCCAGGATTCCATTTTGGAAGAGCCTGCCCTCGCCGATGAGAAATTACAGGATGTGTGCTACGAGGAGGCCCCAACAGCAGGCGAACCTGATTCGCCAGACATCAGTCCAAAGCGATGTCCACCTAAGCCACTCCCAAGGAGAGCCCCACCGAGTCCAGTCCCACCCCCTCGCCGAGCCAAGAGTGTAATCGATGCACCCATCCTCAACAGAGCTTTGAAACCCAAACTGAATAGATCCACAGATGATTTGAGCACCTGCCCGTTAGAGGAGGAGCCTGAAGATGAAGCAAATGACACAAACGATTCGGATGCGAGTCATTCACCGCTCAAATTACCAGAGTCCAAGCAAGATAGAACAACATGCCCAATTTCAGAAAATGACAGGTTCAAACTAAATGCTACCCCTCCCCCAATACCGCCCCACAAACAAGGCAGCCCTTCGAGAACACCCCAGACGAACCAGAAAGCCTTGAAACCAGCACGGCCTCCTCCACCATCCAAATCCATTCCAGCAGGCCCTCCTGTGAGACCCAAACCTCTATCGAAGAAGACTCCTGGTCAAGAGTCGAGGCATCCTATCGTAGGTAGTTCCAGGACTGATGGCTCGGAGGCCTCGCCAAAGATTCCACCTCGGTCAAGGCGGAGTCTGATAACTGACGACATGCTGCTCGTGGATCAGACTGAGAAAAGGTTTTTTCCTGAAAACGGCTTCCCAGTGGAGCCAGAGCCTCCCCCAAGACTCTCATCCAACTTGCCTCCCGATGATGGCAATGGCAACGAGGCGCCCCAACTCAAGATCCCTCCCAGGAAACGATGGTCCCAGCATTCCAACAGCAGCCTGACTGCTATGCCCTACCACAAAGTGCAATCTTCCCCAGACCCAGCCTCCCCCAGGTCTCCCGAAGTCATTCTCCATCCTTCCGGGATTGTCGGTTACCACTCCGTGGCCCCGCCTCGTCCTGTTGACGGTCCTCCGAAGCGCCTGGCACCAGTTCCTCCTCCACCTTACAGCACCACACTTCAACAGTTGCGGCCTGTTCCTGAAGGATCTGAACGGCGAAAACCACCACCCAGACCTCCACCAATGAGAAGTGCCTTGCCTCCCAAGCCATCATCACTCATCAAAAGCATCTCACAGGAACAAGACACCAGCGACAACTCATCCGATCTTCAAGATTCCCCTCAGCACCAAGAGAGCTCCAACACCACCGTGCAATCCGAAGACAAGAACCCAGCAGACAGAACCAGCATCATCAGTGATGACGACGAATACGTCTTACCGGATGGCGAATATGACCCCACAGATGGCCCCTACTACGAGAACAACGACTTTGGTCCTGTCTTTGAACCACCCAGGTCCCCACCCCATTCCCCTTCCGCTGAGTCTAGCGCCACCAAGCGACAGGTTCCTGGCAGGCAGAAGCGTGTCCCTCCTCCAAAGCCCAAGAGGACACCCAGCATCCAGTCCGATATCTCCAATGATGGCTACGAGGACATGTCAAAAGGCTCCTTTGCATCAGTGGCTCTGAGTTCTATTGGGGCTGAAGTCTACTCTGTACCCAGGTGAGTTAAATTTGTTAATTCTGATTTTTGTCTTATCAGGGTCTCTTTTGTCTAAACATATTTTGTCGAAGATGTTTCGCGCAGGTTAGTAAACAAATGTAATTTGGAATCACTAAATACTAAATTACTCAGGAATGCAACTTTTCCTCGGATCTGCTGATTTCCTCAAATTTGTTTACTTCTCATGAATGCCATTACAAATTGAAAAACACTGTACAAAGTCTTGTGTGGTTTGGAGTTTCCTCGTTTTTTTTTTAAATTTTCAGTTGCGTTTTTTTTTTAATTTCCAGTTGCATGCCTGATAACTATGTCATGTATTAACTGCCAAAGACATGAATATTTGAAATGAATTTCTTTGCACTCAATCTAAAACAATTGCTCCACTATAATCTATATAAGCCTTTGGTACAAACCAAAGAAATTCTTTAAAAAAGTTGTAAACAGGTTTGTTTTCTACAGACGAATAAGTTTTCATCTTTCATAAAATCAATCCATTTGACATGCTAAATTTAGCTGCATGACTGACAAGTGCTGAAAAGAATTCTGATCTGCCACACAACAGCACACAAGAAAAGCCAGCATCAGTTTTTTTGCACATTGTGCTCTCATTATAATAAGTCGGCCTTGGAGTCTGCCAGCATTGCAGGCAGCTTTGGTTGGGGTGTTATGTAACATTACGTAACATTCCCTGAAAGGGACTGGTGGATTTCTGTTGTGGGGCAGAAATTGGGGAAAGGTCAACTGATAAAAACATGCTGAGTGCTGCATAGCTTGGAGAATGTTGGACGCCATTTTGGGGCGTGGCTGTCGAGTAATATTTTAGGTAATGGGTAACTTATAACCGAGGGGATTAATTGATGAAGATAGTGATTGGTTGTTCAGTAAATACAGAATGGAATTAATGCTGTGGTTTTGAGCAAGGATCTGTGCTGGTTAATAAAGAGATATCGATTATCAAGATTTTTTTTAACGTTTGACTAAAGATGTTCTCAGGATTTTTTTTTTGCATACTAGACATAGTACTTCCTGACAATGAATATAAAATGTGAATCCTTTGTTTGGTTGTGATTCGAGAGATCCCTTGTAAGAAGAAATAAAAAGATCCAGAACAATGAATGGCTTCCTAAGTCTGTAATAAAAACGGCCTTGTTAACTCTATAGATCGGACTTTTGTCATTGAAACTGATGTGACGTCATAAGCGGCCATAAGAATAGAACTTTTAGTCAGCTGGTCGGTGTCAAACTGACTACACTTTGAACTTCTTGAAAATTAAGTAAACAATTTTATTGCATTTTTTTTATACAGCGTGTGCACTCGTGGGTGTATATTGCATTTTAGATTCTTCTGCATGTACAATAAAACCAGAATACAATATGGATATCTTACCTTTGTAACTGCTAACTTGTGGGAATAATGGATTGGAGTCGGAAGTATCTATTACACCCAACCTCCATGACCGACCGAGTTTTTTTCTTCAGGCTTTTTTTTGTGTAAAACATTTCATGATGTCAAATCGGCTGTCGACGTTTTATGTTGCCTTACCAGAGTAAGTCAGTGTTGATAAGTTTCCGTTGCTGTTTTGTAAAGTAATCCAAAACAAAAAAGCCTGTTTGGGACAGACCTAGGGAAAAAGTGAGATCATTGGATGAAGTATTTACACTTGATGCAGCTCAGTTGACAGCTGATGAACTCGGGTCGGCTTGCAGGAAGCAGGATGTTATTTATTGGATGTGGAAGATCACGAAAAAATATCAATGGCCGTTGTGATGCGCCGTGGTGATAGGTGACGGAAAGGTTTCAGTTTCAAATTCAGTGCTGTAAAGCGTTAAGGAAAACCTGCATAGATTAGTCAGGTTTTTGTGGTAAATATTTGGTTGCAGCCGAACAAAAGGTGAACTCTTTAGAATATGCATACATGTAGTTGTGTTTAAAGAACCGACTATGGTTAGAAGTGTTCAAGTGAGTTGCCATCAAAACTAGTTGTTATAAGGACATACCGGTACATGTACTGTATGCTGTACTGCTCTAATGGAAAAAGAAACGCGTATCAGTGCAGGAAACCTAGCCTTGGTGCGTTTGAAATGTTTCAAAAATCAAATCCAGCATGTGACGGGAAGTAGCTGCACTGGGAGTAGAGGCGCAGTGTGGAGTTAAAAATATATTTGAAACCGGCTCAGTTGTCTGAGTGCACCTGACATGATGTCTGACATGTTTGATTTGCTTTTCTGTTTTTGTAGATCCTGTGAGCACAGCATGCACGAGAGTGGCCGCTGCCAGTGCGCTGACTACGCCGAGCAGAGCAGCGGTGGGGAGGACGACGGCTCATCGGACGAGGACGAGGACAGCTACGAGAAGTTTGACCAGGGCGTCATGGCGGAGAAGGAGGATGACGAGGACGCGGGGGTGGACCCCGAGGTGCGCAAACGCCGCAAGGCCTTCCTGGTGGCGCAGGAGCTGAGGGACTCGGAGAAAGTGTTTGTGGACGTGCTGAAACTCATCAATGAGGTAATGTAACGTCTCCTAGTCTTTTGCACTTCGCAATCCTTCAGAGTTAGCATTCACACTTCAAATTCCTTTGAGCAAATCTTCTGTGGAATATAAATAACACCTCAAATCTATGCTCAAATCTTTTGTTTGATTGAGCTCTTAGGCAAGCTGGCAGACTCTGACAAGGTTACTTTAACAACTCGTATGCTTTTCACCTTGGACTGACCTGCAGGGTTTCAAAGGGTATCTCATAGTGCTCTGAATATTCACCTCTCACTAGGAGGATTAAGAGTGAATGTACAAAAAATCTACCCGTGCCTGTCCATGCAGTACAAATGCAATGCTGTCCAAGAATGCCACTGTGCTAAGGCTAATCTTTCCAACTTACACCAGTTAAAACTTCATAAACAACTCGGCCTCTTGTCACAAGCAAAGACATTCACATTTTTAGAGATAACCAACATAAAGCTTGAAAGTTCAGTTTGTACAGCATACTGGAACATTTTGTCTCAATTCGCAGATTTAAATTCCACTCCCGTTGATTTCTATGCCAAATCTGGTATTGACCCTTGGAGCAAATGGGTCCAAAATAGACTAAGAACTGCTGGCACGCAATCAATTAAGCTTTCTAGTTTGAAGTTCTTGTCTCCCAAATTGTCGTGTATCGGTTCATGGTGGGCAGTTCAGAAGCAGGGCCCTATTTGCTGATGTGCCTCGTGTTTAAAAATAAAGAAGACTTTACTGTCGAGCAATCAACTTAAGTTTTCAATGACATTGACTTTGCAGGATTTCAAGGCTGCCATTGAGGAAGCAGAGAAGACAGCCGGCCGGCCAATCATTGAGAAAGGGATGCTGGACCAGATCCTGGGCCATCTGCCGCAGCTTCAGATGCTCAACGAGGATCTGTTAGCCGATCTGAACTCTCGCGTCAATAATTGGTAAGAACATTGGAAGATAAAAGTTTCATTGAGCACCGTGGTCCAGCAGTTACAGTCATGTTTGATCACAGACAGGGAGCGTGGTGCTTGTGTTCTTGGGCAAGACGCTTTACTGCAATTGCCTCCCCTAATCTGGGAGCTGTGTGGATATCTTTGAGTTGGTCTAAGGTCTGAAGAACGAGTTGTAATCATGAGGCATACTGAGGCATTGTATAAAGTGCTATATAAGTACCACATTATCGCAAAGGTTAAGAATTTTGGTTCAGTTTGGGTTTTGGTCTGAAGTTTGTTCTGGCGACGATAAGCCAGTATTGTTTTCATTTTGCTTAATAAAGGCAATCATTGTGTATGTGAGTGATACATGTGTATCACAAGACTTACTGAAACAAATTCATTGTACGGTTTTTGTTTTGTTTTTACAATTAGGTCCGAGAACCCACGAATCGCAGACATCTTTCTGAAGAAGGGCCCGTACCTCAAGCTGTACAACACTTACATCAGGGACTTTCAGAAACTGACGGCAACCTTGGAAGAGGCCTGTCTGAAGTCACCCTTGTTCAGCGCTACTCTCAAAGAATTTGAGGTGAGCTTTTCACTCTTTGATCTTCAAGCTTAGTACAGTCGAATCTCGTTAATACAAACTCGTTTGGACGTAGCCAAATTGTTTGTTATATCAGAATTTTGTATTAAGAGGAACATCAGTCCCATGCACAGTCGGGACTAAGACTTTATGTTTGTTATAACCCGAATTTTGTAACAACAGAGTTTGTACTAACGAGATTCGACTGTAACTTTAACTGTCAACAGTCACTTGCGGTGGTGCACATGCAGCCTCGGTACATGAATATTAAACAGAATCGTGGTTACTTTATACCATACAAGCAGTAACCACAATAGGAGCGCTCATGGTTCGTCACAATGCACTTTCTGCTCTTCCTACTCAGATTGGTTTCCCTCTTTTGCAGGATTCTATGAGTTTCCATGTTTCCAGTCAGGGACAACTCAGTGAATTTGGGAAAAATCAGGGGTGTGAAATCTCAGCTGTTTTCAGCTGATATCAGCTTTTTTTGTTTTGGATTTCAGTCCCCCCCCCCCCATTTGCTGTGTATAAAAGAATATATTTCCAAAATTCAGTTTTGTACACCTTTTTCAGCTGTTTTCAGCTATTTTTATCAGTGGTCACTCACACCCCTGAAACGTACAACCGATAAAATAATGGAAAACTCAGGGAATTTGACAGTGACGGAGAAGGGGAAGTTTTTTGCCAGTTTGGCGTATGTGCGTCTTGTGCCGTGTGTCCAAGTTGTGTCCATTGACTGACTGGCTATGGTGGCTTTTTTCAAGTTCATGCATTGTGATTATTATTGGTATCTTGCTATGATCATCTCTTGACTTCCCAGTAACCTTTTTAGCGAAAACATTTCTCGTGAAAAAAATTCTGGGGGAAATATCAGGGAAACTTCAGGGAAGTTTGTTTTCATAATGAGCCGGGAACCCTGTTTTGGCCCGAAACTCTTCAGAGCACTAAACTTAAACAAAGCCACATAGAATCTACCACAAAATAATCCACCACAAAATAATCATTTGCATAACAGAGTTCTTCCCACAGAAGACTGAATCACATAATATCTAGTTTCCATTTCAAATAAAAACACATTTTTCCCAAAATTTGTTTTTATTACATACTCGGATGTGTTTTTAAAATTCATTTGATGTGTATGATCAAACAAATCATAGTCTCGGTTCATTTTGTTTTTGTTTCATCCAGGCCAGTCCAAGATGCCGAAGTCTCTCACTGAGGCAACACATGCTGAAACCCATCCAGAGAATTCCCCAGTACAAACTACTGCTAACAGGTAAGCATTCGTTCTATCATTCACTGGTGTTTTCCTCTGTCTGTGGAATACAGGGCATCATACAATGCCTGAATAAATCCCCTACATCTGATTGGTGGGTCGTTGATCACGTGTCGGTGAGTTATTCGCCCCAACAGTGGTCCCAATGCCAAGAAGTTAATTTCCATGGTAAATAGAACTTCCATTGCATGGTCATACTATTGGTTGCACTGTGATGGCTCTGATGCTTACATTCATAGTACCTGGGGCCAATTTCATAGAGCTGCATAAGCACAAAATTTGCTTAAGCACAAAAACGTCTTGTTTAATAAAAACAGGTTACCGGCCTAAACTCCATGCGATTGTTATGCTAAGTAAGCAACAGCTAAATACCAGTCACAAGCAATGTACATCACATGGAGTTTTGGCCGGTAACCTAATTTTACTAAGCAATGTTTTTTCGTGCTTAAGCAAATTTTCTGCTTAAGCAGCTCTATGAAATTGGGCCCAGTTTACAAGTCACCAATCAGAGGACAAGAATATATTCAGGCGTTGTACAAAACGAATAATAAATGTTTCACATGAGTGCAATGGAAAGAATAATTTCATTCGGTGACAGATGGACTGCTCCATTCCACTCTCTCCTTGTGAATTGGAACATGCCATCTGTCACCTCATGAAATTATTCTTACCATTGCACTCATAAACATTCATTGTCCGTATTGCTAAACTATGTGAGTTGATTGTACCAAATTCATATTGCTGGTTCCCTGTTTATTCCATCAAAAGAAGGGATGCACGAGGGATCGCTTGTAGAAATGCAAGGCCAGTGTCATTGCTAACCTCAGAAGTTGCCAGGTACAGAACATGTGCTTCACTAGTGACTGGCTGCCGAGCACGTCTAAAATTCTGCTCGGCTACTGATTGAAATTGGGCTCTGATTGACTTTAAATTCATCTTGCTTTACAAAGTTGTAGTGACAGTTAATTCTCTCTTTTTTTGTCAAACAGAATATCTGAAGCAATTGGATGAGGAAACTCAAGAAGAGGATTTCAAAGACACCATGGGTAGGTAGAAAATCACCCAACCTATTTAATTTTTATGAGAGCTGTTGTGAAAAAGTTAAGTACAAACAAAGGAAAAGGAAAGAGGAACAAAAGAACATCCTTGATTTACACCGTAAACAAACGTTCTAGTGGGTGTGTGTGTGTGTTCTATTTCACTGTTAAGTTCAGTCACCAATCTCGACCAAACTTAAAAGGTGGTCTGTGGAGAGAAGGCCGACGTCAAAACAATCCTTTCCAATATGGATATTTACGAGGTCTCTGGAGAGATACTAATGACTCTAATATATGTAAGTCCAGTGTCTCACTGAAACTCGCCGATTCAACCCAAATTCCCCATAAAACTGAGAACTGGTACCTGCCGGGTGGACAATCAAGGCCGTCACTAAATATTGTCCTTACTAACTGCCTGTACATGCATACAAACTGGCAGGATGCCAGGGGGATCGCGCAAGTTTTACTTGCAGTATTTTTACAAATAAAACTGCATTCTTATTGACTCAATAATTGTGAAATAGTCATAAATAAAGCATTGTGCTAATTTTCTCACAAATTTTAATATTTGTGTTCCCCATCACAGCTGCTCTAAACATCGTGAGCGAGGTTGCTAATCACGTCAATGAGAGCATGAAGCAAGGGGTAGGTTCTTCTTTTAACAATGTGCTTTGATAAAATTCCCCAAATAATTGAGTTCTGTACCTCACAAGAGCATGTTTGTTTCCACTTTGCTTGACCCAAAGGGCAAGTCTGTTGTCCGATGACTGAGTTGGTGGCTGAGTCACTGCACTCACTGAAACACTAAGTCACTGACTGAGTCACAGAGTCACCGACTGGATAACTAAACAGTATTACAGTGAAATCTCGAAACCATCTCGAAACAACTGTTAAGTCAAACAAAGAATCCATTGCCTTCAGTTGTATAACAATGATATACAACCCTGCTTAACTCAAAACTCTACTCAAGTCAAAATTTGAACCTGTTCTTGAGGTTTGACTTATCAAGATTTCACTGTATCTTGAGCTGAGGTTTCATGTCCAGCTGGACTAGACAAGCCTAGTCATGCTTACATACGAGAGTCTACATTCTGATTACGTCGGTCTAAATTTCCATATTTGACCTTGTTCCTTCTTTCCAGGATAACTTGGACAAGCTACTGCAGCTCCAACAGAGTCTGGTAGGCAACCATGAGTTAGTCCGGCCAGGACGGGTAAGTCAAATGATAAATGCATGTTGGTTATTAACCCTAACCCCCTTGAGTGATTCACTAGGAACCTTCCTCAGTCCTGCAAATTCCAACACCATATGGTTAAACTGTACACCCAAACTGTTGGACTCTGATCATGGTGGTATGCCTGACCCCATGTAAAGCATAATCAGTGTACTAGTGCAGTCCTCGGTCCAACAGAATCCAACCAAACAGGCAGTTGGATTTTGAAGGGTTGGTGGTGGTTAGCGTTAATGCCTGATATAACTGTACACTGAGTAGGGTCCTAGAGCCCGCAAGAAAAAAGTCAAACTTCCTCAGGCGAGGTACAAACCATTACCTCCCAATGGTACTAGTGCCGACGTCTTAAACTACTTGACCTCACTTTGTATTTAAGTTGTAATTCTAGATAAATTTGTCTCGATACTTTTTAAGATTAACCCTAACTCCCTCGGGTGATTTACTAGGAACCTTCCTCATCCTTGCAAATCCCAACACCATGTGGTAAACTGTGCACATACACAGTTGGGCTCTGTTTATTTGTGGTCTGCCTAACCCCATGTGAAGCACAGTCAGTTTACTAGTGCAGTACTCATCGTAACAGATTCCAATAAACCCCGGTGTTGGAGTTTGGCTGGTTGGGGATCGTTCAGGTTAATGAACAAATAAGTCAGGGTATCAATTTCAAAACTTTTCATTGCAGGTTTTTATCAAAGAAGGTGATCTGCTCAAGTTGTCTCGCAAGGTGCCACAAACGAGGAGATTTTACCTGGTAAGATTGAGTTGCCTCCAACTATTAACCAGGCATGCAACTTTTCTTCGGATCCGCTGATTTCCTCGTTTGTTACTTCTCATCAATGCCATTACAAATTGAAAAGCACTGTACAAAGTCTTGTGTGGTTTTGGAATTTCCTTGTTTTTTCTGAAATCCCAGTTGCAGGCCTGATTAACCCGAAAAGCCGGTCTTCAAATTCAAAACATTTAAAGTAAACATTTCAGTTTTATTTTATTGGATTACATATCACTTGCTCCCAATAAAGCCGTTTCAGTTTCGGATAATGGACGTGTTCTTTCATAACTTATGTTAGTAACCTATGTTAGTAACCCATACTTATTTGCATCTTTTAAAAATATTTCTTTGTTTGTATTTCTAGTTGAGTGATATCCTATTGTATACCACACCATTCCTGCTGACTCCTGGCCAGTACAACTACAAGCTGCACAATGTTCTGTCACTGGCTGGAATGAGGGTAAGAACGTTTCTATATTATTACAAACTAACAATAGGGGGCGCTCAGGAGTTAACTAACATTGTAAGGAATAGCCTTTAGTACTGCCGCCCGAACATCGGGTGCGTAATTGCTCCCTATTGTTGGCTTGTGGCTATAAAAAAAAATACGAAGTAAAGAACACAGCATCACAAAACAAACGGCTCTTTTCAGAGCCACCACAACTTCAAAAAAGAGATAATTCAGTCTGTCTTCAAAAAATAAAGTTTAAAACATACCGTGGTTCCAACCCCCAAAAAAGAATCCGAAGAATAAAAAAATTAAAATCTTAAACAAATTAAGAACCGCCTCCGGCCCCGCCGAAAAAACAATCCCAATGAAAACAGGTTTCCAAGATCTTCAAACGCCCAACCACATATACATTGTACACATTTTAATCCGAAATTATTACTTTTGTTTGTTTATTATTATTATCTTAAAAGAATCCCTCCCGACAAACAATAATCACCAATTGCTGCGAAATTACACATGGAGACACTTAAACAAGGAAGTAATATTAGCGCCCTCTCTTGCTCGATTCCAGCAAATGCAAAACGAAAGCAAAATGTCACTTGGCACGAATGTGCGCTATAGTTAACCGAAATAATTACAATTTCAAAGAATCCCTTCAGAAACAATAATACCCAACTGTTCCAAAAAGTCAACAACCAAAAGGCATCTAAGGATCAGGAGTCATTAAAACCCGGAAGTAATGCATGTATTGGCGCCCTCTCTTGCCCGATTCCAGCAAATGCAAAATGAAAGCAAAATGTCACTCGGCACGATTTGTGCGAGTGACCTACTTGCCTGATTCTTCTCAGCGATTGATGCCTTTTCCTCCGGATTCAGGTCCTCAAATATTAAACAATGTTCCCTTAAAGGTATTTTATTTATTTCATTTATTCATCACCATCAGTTAAATATTTAATATACATTATTAACAGACGTACATACCAACAAATGACCATCTTTTCATGTCTTCGGACGTGCGTTACATGATTAAAACACGCACGCACATGTACCGTACTTTGTGCACAACGAATGGGCAAAAACTGCGCTCCGGTTTTAGCGAGGTTCCGGCTATAACGACAGTATTGTGAAAGTCCATCGGACCTCGTTATAACGGGAGCCGACTGTATTCCCTTTACGCAATGAAATGACACTAGATTTCCTATTCTGCAATTGAAACAAAATAAACAAAGATGAATTTTCTATTAAATATAAAAAGCCGAAGTGCTGGGTGGCATTATGGAAAGTGAAACCTAAGTTAAAATGATGACAATATTTGGATTGTACTTTGAAGAGTTCAACCTCGTTTCTCTTTCATATTTTTATAATAAATAGTTGAATGTTGACTTTTCTTCCTTAGGTGAGCAAGCCAGCCCAGGAAGATTACAAGAACGAGTTCAGCATCATCAGTGTGCAGAGGTCCTTCACGCTAGCATCCAAGTGAGTATAAGACACTCCAGTTAACTCCTAACCCCTCAAAAATTCCACCTCGGGTTCTGCGAGGATTTTGCAGGATTAAGAAAGGGCTTCTGCCAAGGGGTGAAGTTAAATCAAGGCAAGAGTGCCCCCAGGAAAAGTGCTGTCGGATTTGGGCTTTTTTATTAGTAAATTGTTACTGCTAATTGACACAAATTGAATAATCGGTGATCGCCAAGGTATTTTGTTTGAGAGGTATGCATGTTGAATTCCATGCAGTTTTTCCATTTAACTTGGGTCTTGCAAGCAAAACAAAATGACTGTTTTAGAATAAGTGAGAGACCTAATGTTGCAGTAAAACCTGATATGTATAACATGTGTTCCCAAGTTAATAACTGAAATACAGTTTTGTAAATTGAATTTTTTTTTTGCATCGATGTTAAAAATATTTAGTTGACTTTAACCTAACGTCCTTACAGCTTGTTGAGGGTCAAGGACCAAATACCACAGAATACTACATGTGCTGTGCACACTTGTATGGAAAGAAATGCATACTACAGGTTACTACTCGGTAGTATTTTGCAGCTTTAGATGAGGTTAGGGTTTAGCGAGTACTTCATGCCTGTTCATCAGTTGGAAATCTTTTCAATTTTTTCTCTTCTTTTCGGCACAGTACCCCAGAGGAACGAGATTCTTGGATTACTGCTCTGAATAAAGCCATCACGGAGTACGCAAGCAAGAGAAGCTCCTTTGCCATGTTGCATCCGCAGTTTGCACAGGTGAGGATCGACATTGCCACTTCTTGAAATTCCTGAAAGGTCATTTTTTCTCAAAGGCTGCATAGCGGGCTTTGAAGTGAAGATGCATGAAAAAAAGTGTTCTGCCAAAGTCAGACCCTTACGGGCAGTGCTTGGAATGGAGATACAGTCACTGAGAAAGTTACTGAAATTTACTGGGGTTTTTTTTAAGAGCATAATTTTGCCAAGGAAAGTCCGTTTTCCAAATTAAGCAGCACTCTTTTCAGACTAACTGCCCTAAAAAGTCTCTTTTACAGAACACACTGTTGGGCAGTTTGTGCTCTACATGAATGCGAACACTATTATTTGATGTTATTCTATACCGGTTCATGTAATTCAAAGTAGATGAGAACACTTTGTAATGCCCAATTTTGGTTTCATATTGGATACGTTCAGGCAGGCATTTTCAAAGTAGCGAATTTTTCAACTAAACGCGCACGCAATTTTAAAAATAATTATGGAGGAATATTAGACTTCATACTGTGCATAGTAATGCCCAGATGAGATCAACTTCAAGTCACAGACGGTACTACCGAGTTGAGGACATCTGTTGCCCTGACGGACAGAAGCGGCCATCTTGAATCGCCATGGCAGCGCTGCTGTATTTCAGGCGGTATACTGGTAACAGCTTATATGCAGAGTTTACCAGTTACTTCTTGGAATATAGGGACGCTTGTCAAACGCACCGTTGGAACTCATCGCGGGACTTCATAGAGATGACTTCACCAAAGCACCCTACTTGTAATTGGGCAATTCCACAAAATTATGAGCCTCACTGACATTTTTTTTTTTAAAATCCAAATGCTACAAATAAAACATGTATATTTTAATCTTATTAACTAGGTTTTATTTAAATATAGTTTATTCTAATAATGTGCAAAAGTTCAGCTGTTTATTTTAACTGAAACAAATAAATAAAATCACAAAAAACAGTTAATCCGAGTATGTCCGACACCATGGTATTTGAAGCTGATTTCTATGATAAATTTGTTAAATCTATGTTGAAACCAACCGATATGCTTTATCAGAATTAAAATCCACTTTATGATCAAAACTTTTGTTATGCCCACTGTTGAATTGTCCAAAATATTTGTCCGATACTGCGCAACTGCCCAACTCTTTACTGCCCAAAACTAACTGAGGAGTGGTTTGATGTATTCATCGGGATCAATACAAAAACACCTAAAAGTCTTAAAAAATACCAAAACCTTTTAATTTTTCCTGCCCTTGTTGATTGGTGATTTGTGTTCTGTTCTATTCATCAGCTTCTCTCTGATGGCGACACCACCAGCCTCGGCAGGAAGGCACCTGCCTGGATCCCTGACGCCCGCGTCACCATGTGCATGATCTGTACCTGTGAGTTCACCATCACCTGGAGAAGGCACCACTGCAGAGCCTGCGGAAAGGTACAAATGTTGTCCTAGTCTATCACTATCACTTGTTTCGCTCTTACCTTTCCTGGAGCTAGGTTTGTAGAAGATGCCAACATTTGAAAAGATAGTTTCAATTAGCTTCGGTCAGTGCCTGAAAGAGATCTGGCTTGAACCACTTCATGCCGGGTTTATTTTTGCCGAAAATTTCGAAATTTTCAAAAGGCAACATTTCCCAGACAACTTCTGATACACATCCAAACGCCACAAATACTGATTCGCAAGAGCCATTTCAACAGGTTTTGTACTATATTTCTATATTTTTTATTGTATGCAAGGAAACCAGTATATTTAATTAATGTTATCCCTCTTTTTGCAGGTGATTTGCGGCAACTGCTCCTCAAATAAGCTTCCTCTACTGTACCTTGCCAACAAGGTTGCTAGGGTCTGCGACCAGTGCTACAGAAACCTTAAAGGTAAAACACAAATGACTTCAATAATTGAAATGTAAAGAAATTCTGAAAATTAACCCTGACAATCCTCAATCCTCAAAACTTTTCTTTGTGTTCAAGTGAAGGAAACCCAGCGCCTCAATCCTTCAAAATCCTCCGAAAAAATGCTTTCATCCTTAATCCTCCCAAATCATCCTCTTCTTCAAACACCATTCATTCTAAATCCTCCAAAATCCTCATGTGCTTCAACGCCATTCATCCTCAATCCTCCAAAATCCTCCAAAATCCTCATGTTTCTCAAACACCATTCATCCTCAATCCTCCAAAATCATCCAAAACTGCTGGAGGATTGAGATTGGTTAGGGTTTAGGTTCCATTTCTGATATAGACCCAGATGCTAAAGTGCCCCCTCATTGTTAATAAAGAGTTAGGTTGGACTCTAGATCACATTTCTGCTGTATGCTTGAAACTCCCGTGTAGATAACAGAGGTTAGTGCTCACTCAGATGAAAATGAAAGATGCGTACTTGACACCTTTTTACGCTCGAAGTGTGCGTGCAGTTAGCACTAACCTGAGCTTTCACAAGTGGCCAGGAAGTGCCTATCTACCTGTTCAAGCACACAGTCACACTTGGAACAAACTGGCGATACTGCACAAAGCATATTGTTCAACATTCCTTGACAGTTGTTCTTGATCCCTGTGTCGGTTTGAACTCTTGAATCAAGTTGTTCTCGTATCTCAATTTGTTTGCAGGCGATAAGCAAAGTGAGGACACAGAAGACGGGAAGGAACGTGGCAAGGGCAAGAACAAAAGGAAGAGATCCACCAAGCTGGTCATACGACCCTCGGCACTCAAACAGGTAACCTCAAACTACGATTGAGTAACTTTTCTGTTGTAAAAGAAACAGGATGTTGGAGACTGATATAAAATTGGAATCTGTCACTGTCGCTAGATGCAAATCAAGGTGTTCCTAGGCCATGGTCTTGGGCTCGATTGTTGTGCTTTAAGTTGCTTTACTGAAGAATTTAATTTTCCCAAATGAACAATGAAGACATTGATGAATTAGAGTACCGCCAACATGGGGCTGGATAGCTCAGTTGGTAGAGCACCGGAACGGTAATCCGGAGGTCGCAGGGTCAAACCCCTTTCCAGTCAATTTCTTTGTTCAACTTGAAAAAATAGTTGATTTTTCTAGTTGACTGGTTAGAACAAAAATAACAGTTTCCTGTCAACTCGGTTAGTTCTCATGTTGAGCAAGTGGCTGGTAAACATTTTTTTTTTGCATAAACTTTCTGTAGGATATTTTTGCGCGCTGGGTTGCTGCCCAGTCTTTTTGTGCAAATCTAGCATTCCTTGTCGTAACTCTGTATTCCAAATGGCTACAGGGATTCACTGTAGTGTTCCAATTTAAAATAAAGACAAAGAACAAAGCCCGACGTTAACCGGTGTTGCAGTTGCGTCCTCATGTCGTCACTAGTCCATCACGGGCTATTCAGTCCCAAGTCAAGCTACAAGCTATTCACGTGAATTTTGCCAAAGCACTTCCTTTGTTATCCCTGTTTCTAGTGTACAGACTTGTGAATGGATTTGTGATTTACTAATGATCGGACTTGTGATGTTCAAGTTTTGGACTCAACCATATTACCGACATTAACCCTAACCCACCTCACTCCTCCAAAATCCTCCTGGCGGTTTTGGAGGATTCTAGAGGATTGAGGATGAATGGTGATTGAATCAAATGAGGATTCTGGAGGATTGAGGATGAATAGTGATTGAAGCACAAGAGGATTTTGGAGGATTGAGGATGAATGCATTTTGAGGCAGGACTGTCTGATGATTTTGAAGGATTTGGCGTTGGTTTATCCTTCATTTAAACACGAGTGCAAAATTTTGGGATGAGGAGGATTTTGGAGGATTGAGGATGAATGCATTTTGAGGCAGGACTGTCTGACAATTTTGAAAAATGTAGGCGGAGTTGCAAAATTTTGGAGGATTTTGGAGGATTGAGGATGGTTGTAAGCAACAAGGGCCTAGGGGGTTAGGGTTAACGCATGTAAAGATTATAATAATGGCTTGTAAGGCTAAAAACAAACTATTTTGAAATCTTTCAGGTTTCAGCCAGTGAGCAGGACACCACCATGAGCGGCTACCTGATGCTGAGACGCAAGAAAGACTGGAAGCGACAGTGGTATGTCTTGAAGGAGAAGGTGCTGTATCGGTACAAGGCCAGCGAGGATGTGGCTGCGTTGGAGAGCATGCCGCTACTGGGCTACGATATACAACTACTGAATGAGGTCAGTTGGAGTTGTAGTGGCGTGGATCAGATTGAACCAGGCGAATAGGATCATTTGCATTTCATGAATTTTGTTTGTTGCCAATGATAACACCACTCAAAATACCAAGAGGAACCTTAAAAACCTAACCTTTTTAAATTTCGGCTCAGTGGATGTTACACTTTTAAGTAAAAAAGTTAACTTTCTCAACCTTAACCCTCAATCCTCCAAAATCAACCAGGCGGTTTTGGAGTTTTGGAGTATTGGGACTGTATGCTTGTTGAGTGTCCGTTGATTTTGGAAGATGCATCACGTCAAGGTCTTAAGCTGTACCTTGGGTTGTTTATGCTTGGCCATGCATAAATTTTGGTCTAGATTATACTCGCCCCTCCACTGAACACAAGAAATAACAGAGGATTTTTGGAAGATTGCGGTTGTATCCAATTTTAACTAAGTAGGCAGTTGGAGGATTTTTATCCACTAAGGATTGCAGATTGATTCTAGCAAAAAAGCCTGATGTGTTTTGGAAGGTGTACTAGGGCAACAACTAAAAGACAGAGTTGGGCGACTGAGCTAACTTGGTTGAAAACTCAACATCTCGCAGAACAGCCAAACCACGGTTTGTTTCAGGTCAATAATTATTCACGGAGTGACCAAAAAATTATTTTGAAAGACTTGACGGATCTTTGCAAAATTGTCAGAAGTTCAGGGCTAATGTTGTGTACTGCTTAAAGTTTCCGAGCGAGCCGTTTAATATAACAGTCTTTTGTTTTTTCTTTTCCTGCAGCCATTTGAGGGAGTAGAACCAGGCCTGATCTTGCAGCTGTGCCATCAATCCAAGCTGTGCCAACTACGAGCTGAGAACAAGGCAATGGCTGAGAAGTGGGCTACACTCATGACGGAAGCTACACATCTCTGATCCTCGGACTCCCCATGGCTGTCCAAGGCCTTTCATTTCTTGTAGATTCTGAGAGCAAGAACTCAGTGTGCTAAACAGTCTTGAAGACGTTATGATAAAGTTCACTCTAAGCATTCCCGACAGTAAACAAACTCTACTTAAGAAAGATGACCTACATGTTAAATGGTATACAAATAATGAATGTTTGTGAGTGCAATGGTAAGAATAATCATCGAATGAAATTATTCTTTCCATTGCACCAACGTGAAACATTCATTATTTGTCTTATATAACACTTGAATAAATCTTTGTCATCTGATTGGTTGACTTTTAATAGCCAATTTATTCAGGTTAAAAACTTTTTAAAAGTTCGACAAGTTCATCATATTTTATTAATGCAAACTGTTCAACAGGTTGAGAACAATCATATTCAATTTATCTCAATATAAAAGAGCGCCACTACCAGCAGCAGTGACACCGTGCAACGGAAGTTCTATTCACCGTGCAATAGAACTTCCATTGCACTGCGTGCCACGCGCGCCGTGCGTTGGTACGAATTATTCAATAGCATGTGATCAACGATTTATTCAGGTGTTGTATAATATTCAATAATACCACTATATGTTGCAATAAATGTTTAGTGATAATGAACATTCCCTTACGATCAACAAATTTGTAGTATATTTGTGGCATTAAAGGGAATATACATCATTTGCTTTTGCTGTAATTTTCAGAAATGGATGGAATTGGGGGGTTGGAAATATATAGCAAATATAGTTACACTGACTTTTTTTGAGGTTTTGGGTTCGAAAATGCTATAAAAACCAAGAAAAACGATCATTTTCCTGTAGTCTGGTTCCCTGACTCCATATAAGAAGAAACAGAGCAGTTTACATACATTGGGGAATTGTAAGGTCAGGGAACCAGTCTAGCTGGCTCGTACCCGTTCATAGGTTTGTAATCGATTGCAAACAAGTGCAATGGTCAATTGGGGCCAGTATTTGAAAAAAAGCCAGTTGTTTCCAACGCTGATCGGCCGATCAGCGTTGGAAATAGATACAAAAATACCACTTTTCTTGAAAATTACAGTATACCAGGTGCCATAATTTTACAGGATGCTTTAGACTGTCATTTACCAACATCCTATTAAGGTATTTCGCCAAAACTTGGTAGTTTTATTTTTCGATGTTTGCAAATGTTGTATATTCCCTTTAACAACACGCTAATATTAAATCATCAGACATATTGCCAAATGTAGTTAACTTCAAGAATATAAAGGTTCATCAGTTTTTATTAGAAGTGGGTCCATTGGAGTCACATTTTTGGATTGGGCTCCATTGCAATTGCATTCCATTGCGTGTGATATTTTCCAAATAATAGATTATAACTAAGTATTTGTATGACATATTTGTGTCAAAGAGAAGAGAGCTTATCTCACACATTGCAGTCCCTTGTAAAGATACCTCAAAATGTGCTCCTGCGTATCAATGCTTGAGCTCTTTCAAAAGGAAATACACGTGCATATGTCAACAAAACTTGTGTGCTCCATCTACAATGGTGTGGACACATTCCTAAAATGTTGTGTATAAAGGTGAACTGGATATATGATATACAGTCGAGTCTCGTTATTAACAAACTCGGTCGGATCTACCGGTAGCCAAATTGTTTGTTATATCAGAATTTTGTATTAAGAGGAACATCAAGAGACACATAAATGCACAGTCGGGACCAAGGCTTTATGTTTGTTATAACCAGAATTTTGTATTAACCGAGTTTGTACTAACGAGGGTCGACTGTATCTCTGAACAAATCTTGATGTCTTCCAGGTTTGGCTTTAAATTAACCAGTATTAGTTTATATCTCCATACTCTTGTCCTTATTAAGACCAGAGGTCGGGCTTATCCTGAAAATGGCTCTTTGTACATGATGTAAGAAACACGTATGTTCATATTTCATGTAATATTCCATGACTGATAGTATTTAACCTAGTGCCATAAATGATCAAATGACTACTTAAAAACAATTTCGAACTTCAAAATGATACCAATTTATGCAAAAGAGTGTAACAAATCAGTATTTGTGTCGGTGTGCCTTAAGTTACCAGAATATTTTTCAGGTTGTAAGTTACGACATAGCCAGTGCCTTCTGTTGGACATTTACAAGTTAATTTTAAGATATTTACAATAAGCCACTTGCGTGTAACCTATACCCTTTGGGATTTACATTTGAAAAACGTCTGGTACAATGACTTGCTCAGAATGCTTGTCACATTTTAACTGTGAATTCTCCAGACCAAAGACACTGATGCTAATCACATGATTCGGGGCAAGCTCTTGCATAGTTACGTAAGAGACGCTCAGCACCAATACATCGTTCACAATGGGTGAGAATGGCACAAAGACACCAGACATTGCCGGAGCTGGGGGTTGCTAGCATAAGGCTTGCCCCGAATCACGTGATATAGTAACAGTCTCTTTGGTCGGGAGAATGCTAGGTTAAAACGTGCAAAGCATTGTATTAAGTCAGCGTTCCAGATTTTATTCAAATTTAACACGCAAGTGGCTTATTAAATTTTTGGTATTTATGGGAGGGATGTGAACCAGGTACCTGATTAAAAAACCAACCCCACAAATACAAAATCGCAGACGTCTCTGTTTCAATGCAGCACGCAACAAGTGTGTACATTGAGCTATAGTTTAACGCTGAAACTGCATGAAGCTTTCTCGAGCATCATAAACCGTACGCCAATCTGTTGGTTTTTCCTTGTAGCCTGGTTTTCATTTTGAAAATTCCCCATAAATGACATTCAAATTTTTTTTTTATCATTGTCTGAGAAGTTACTAAGTAACATGTAAAGTTGGTTACGTGTACCCGATCCCATAATCTGGAATAGTTCCCGACATTAGTGGTCGAGTAATAAAACCTTTCTTTATCATTGTCTGAAAAGTTACTAAATGGCTTGTAAAGTTGGTTACATGTGCCTGATCCCATAATCTGGAACCGGTTCCTGACATCAGTGGTCGGGTACCCGGTTCCGATGCACATCCCTAATCTCATTCTTGAGAAATTTGGAGTGAGAGCACTTGATCACGTAACAAACTAAATCCTAAATGGATATGCAAATTTTTAAGAGAACTGACGTGTGGAACCATATCTGCATCGAATTGAATATACGTGTATGTCTTCCAAGGTTTTTCCCAACCATATTTTTATCATTTTGTAAATATAACATATTTTTAAGATATATTATTACTTCAGTGCAAATATTCAGGACAATAATGCAAATTATCGAATGTTAAAACGGTCTTAATTTGAATGCATGTGAATGATGCTATACGAGATACTTAAAACAATCATCCAAGAAACTTAAAGAGACGAGATATATGACCAAATGTTTATTAAAATGAAGTATTTGTTACAAATTGCTTAATCTAAAACTTCCAATTTTTATTTTAAATTTGTTACGATTTCCAATGTGTGCATGATTATGGGCCAATAAACAACTGAATATGGTGCATATAAAAGGAATTTTTTTTTTGTGCGAATGGTTTTTCTAAAGGTTGTTGGAATCTAAATAATCCCACTTGCTATTTAAAATGCTGCTAAATCATTTTTGTAAAAAAACCGACATTTCTACAGTTTCATACTAAATAACAAGTCTGGAGATGGTTAAACTCTTGTCATAATGTATATTTTTAATTTATTAATTCATGTCTTTTATTCATAAATCATAAAATCAACAAAAAGACATGGAGGAAACCTAGAACAACATGAACATGGGACAAATCAAAACGGAAACGGTCTAAATGTCAATGAAGGAAGGAACTAGAAATTAATATTGAAGCAGAAAAATAGACAAATTAATTACTTAACAATTAAGCAGGGTTCGTGACTTCGTGGATGGGTGGATGTTGGGATATGGAATGGACGAGATGGGTACAATTGGGCACCGGATGCAGTTTTTGCATAGGCTTGACAGAGCCGTGGTGTCAAGTTCAAAACACCGTTTCGTAATCGTTAAAAAAACTCTTTCTAATCCATCTAAGAATATGTCAATGAAACAGTATTCATGAAACCTGTGATATGGCACACCACAGTGTTTCCCCTGCCCATTCAAACGTGAGGCGGCCCACCTCGCTACTTTCAGTGACCACCTCGCTCAATTTTTGCCAATTTTTTATCACCACCTCGCTGTGAAGATTTACAATAAAGGAAATATCAATTGAAAAAAGATCATTTTGTGTAATATATGAGCATTTTCCTTTACCTCCATGTATCAAGAACTCACAGTTTCGATGTGTTTTTGGAATCATCGCGCATTTCTGCGAGTGCTGCATTCTTTTCAGTTTGCAGACTGCATAAATTTCATTTCAATCATCTTGTTACCACCTCGCTCAGTTCATTAGCCAGGGGAAACACTGGCACACCATATGCATGTGTTTAACCCATCAGCACCTGAACTTCATTGTATCACAATGTATTTATTCTCTGGAGAATCAATGACACCATAGAGTGCTCGGGTGGTTCAGTAAAAAGGGGTTAACATGTCTGACTCTCTTACACACACGCACTTTAATCAGCTCAGGGGAAAATCCCTAATTAAACAGACAGTAACACGTTTACTAGGTACCTCAGACATGTTTACGTTACATGCCTAGTGTGGACATTCTTTTGTTTTCGTGTAGTTAAGAAAAACCTGTGAAAAAAACTCATTTTACTCACACTGTGAAAACTCTTTCAACCCGCATTTTTTTCTATGATTCCCTTTAGTGTTTCTCTTCATTTTGCTACGGATAAACCTAACCCAAAAATGCCTCTAAACCTGTTTTCCAGAGAGGGGAGGACCTTGTGTGGACGTGGACAAGTCCACACAACATCGCTGCTACCTGGTTTATGTGGACATCTTTTGTTCGGAAGTCCACACAGTGAATGTAATGCTTGGACCAGAGTTCAACCTCGAGTTTTCACTTGTTTAATATATTATTCCTTTACAAATTTTGTTAAGATACTCTTAAAAAAACCTTAATTTCCGCAAGACTGAATCAAAAGGTATTGATATTAGCGATGGGTAAAGCCCAAGGTTTAAACAACATGATACTGAAGCAATTTTTTTAATGCTCTCATGAATGAAAACCTTGAGAAATTTTTATAAAATTTCCACTTTCATTCATAAAAAAATTCTATATAATTTATATCTACTTTTGCCTCGCGAGGCACAGACTGGGTAGAGAATGACTCTGTTTGGCCACGCCCTGGCCGGCCCCGCCCTGCCCGGCCCGCCCACTCTGGGCCACGCCCCCTCGTAACAGCTCCGGGATGCACTCAGCTCCTCATCGTCACAACAACTTTGCCCGTCGATTTCCTCGACAAGACAAACTGGAATGCTTCGTTGACCTACATTAACAAGGGGATAAGACATACAAAAGTCATTACCAGTAAATGAACGATTTTCATCTTGGCAATAGCTGTTGATTTTCAGCGGCATGAACAGGATTTCCTCATTGTGAAGGCTCTAAAAAAATATTGTGCAAGGAAGTAAATATCTATTTATTTATTAACTTCTGATCTTTTTCCAGGGTAGCCTAATCACATATAATGTGGTCTTCAACAAGGCCCTGGGTATATAATTATAAATTAATAAAACAAAGACTAACAATTTAAAGGATTAACAGTGTATAAAATATCAACAGGTAGGAAATAAGATCATATAAAATCATAATCGAATAATCATTAAATACAAAGAGGCATGAACGGGTATATAACGTAGTAGTATAACACAAGTATGCACAATGCCAGGACACATATGGACTTTCATATGGTCTTTTTAAGCTAGGACAAGGGAATATGGCTGAATTGCAACACTGGCCTCAACTCACCTTGTCTAGCGGGAAGGTCTTACAGACATGAGGTCTGATCTTGCCCTCCTTGAAGAACCCGATACAATCCTCCACCGACTGACGGCTCCTGGGCGGGTCGTTCAAGCGGTAGTTCCCCCAGAACAGACCCACGGCCGATACGTTCTTGACCAGTAGGAGGTTGGCGGGAATCTTGGGGATGTCGCCGCTGGCAAAGCCGATGACGACCAGACGACCCTCCCAGGAGATGCTGAAGAAAAGAGATGATTTGTAGTAAGAGGGGGTGGGGGCGGGGTGTTGGGGGAGGGGAGCAATTATTGAAATCAGTCCTTCACAAGGCTGGACAAAAGTTAAAATGCAAGTCTGTTCACAAGACAAGTCACAAGTAACAGGAGGAAAGGAACACTTTTGTCAAATATTATCTGAATAGCTGGTGACTTACTTGAGGATGAAGGACTTGTGTGGACTCGTAAGGAACTTTTGATGGACTTGTAAGGATTTGTGATGGACTTGTGAAAGAACCTATGATGGACTTATGAGACATTGTGAGGCCTTGTAAGGACTTGTGAGGACTTGTGATGACTTTTGAGGACTTGTGAGGACTTGTGAGGCATTGTGATGACTTGTCAGGACTTGTCAGGACTTGTCAGGAATTGTGATGACAATTGAGGACTTGTGAGGACTTGTGAGGACTTGTAAGGAGTTTTTGGACTTTTTGGACTTGTGATGGACTTGTGAGGACTTGTGATGGTATTGTGATGGTATTGTGATGGGCTTGTGATGGACTTGTGAGGACTTGTGATTGACTCACAATTGACTTGTGAGGACCTACAACAACGAAGGAGAGGGGAGATGGGCATAAGAGCCCTGTCCAAAACTGACATTGATGTCAATGGCTCTGGCTATTCTCGTTTAGCATGTCAATGGCGGAAACAAGAGCCACAGCAACAAATATCCCCCAAAAACTTGGACACAGCCAAGTGTAAGAGGACCAATACACGATATGTTAATATGAAATTCCAGAACAAAATTAGGGCTTTCCATGACCAATTCCTACGCTGTTTTGGCATCTTAGGAGCCTTTTACAATACACTGCCGGCCAGTCATCACACTGAGGCAATTAAGAGACAGCATTGAGCACCAAAAAAACATCAAAATGTACTGAGGATACCAGTACATGCATAGAGAGGAAGTGTAGTAAACTGGAATGCAAACTGGGAGACTACCATAGCCACATATTGCGTATTTTCACGTACATTTTATGCATGATTCGACAACTTTTTACACAATTGTCAATGGAAGACTTTTGAGCCGTTGGTGGCAGCAAACACACTGGTCCTTTTTCCATTGTTTGTGTCACATTGAGTACGCATGCTTTAGCTTAAACATGTCGTAAGTAATAGAAGAAGGACCGGTGTGTTTGCAGGCGCGGATCCAGAGGGGGGGGGGGGGGGGTGTGTTTTTTGGGGTCAACCCCCCCCCCCCCCCCAGCTCTGTCCAAAAAAAAATTTTTCCATACAAATTCCTAAAAAATAAGTCGAAACCCCCCCCCCCCCCCTTGCTGTGACACCCCAAAACAGTTATACTGGTATAATGTTTGCCTGTTCAAAATACGGTACACCATTCTGTAATCTAGTGTTAATAATCATCGAATTTGAACAGTGCCCCCTATTGAAATATGGTACCAGCCCCCCCCCCCCCCCCCCCCCCCCCCCCGGCCCCCAGTTTTTGATTTTACGGAGGCCAAGTGTCCAGAGAAAAAAACCTGTGTACATTTTCAGAATTTTTTGCTGATGAAAGCCCCCCCTGCGAAAATTCCTGGATCCGCCCCTGGTTTGCTGCCATCAACGTCTCAAGAGTCTCCCATTACACCGACGTTCCATGCACTCACCATCTCAAGCATTCTTTGAATACATCCCCTCCCACGGCATCCATGATCACGTTAGCTCCTCGTCCCTTGGTCAGTTCTTTAGTCTTCTCTCGCATGCTGTCCTGCTTGTAGTCAATCACAGCCACAGCTCCCTTGTCGGTAACCAGCTTGCATTTCTCTGGTCCCCCGGCGGCACCGATAACCTGAATGAAATGGGGGAAAAATAGGCAACATGATGAACGAAGTCAGATACAGAATTTAAGTTTAAAAAAGGTAAACAGATGAATAAATTTTAGGGGACAATTTAGGAAATGTTCATATTATGTTCTGAGTCGTTCATTCAAGTCTAATGTGATGGAGGAAATTTTGTAATGTTTTGGCTTAATTCAAGCATGCAACTGGGAAGCAGCAAAAAAAAAGAGAGGAAATTCCAATCTTTACAAGACTTTGTACAGTGTTCTTCAATTTTAATGGCATAATTGTGAAATGAAAAACGAGGAAATCAGCGGATCCAAACGAAACAATTAGATTGGTTACATGTTGCAGTAAGATTTGAAATAAACAGTTTATGGGAAGAACGACCTCAAATGGTGTCAGAAAGAAGTCAGTGAGGTCACAGAAACTACAATTTCAACAACTGACAACCGAAAGGCTCATTATGAAGCTTATTCTGTATTTTAAAAAATCAGCAATTGATAAGTAAAGAGGTCTCAAACTCTTGGAACAATCTAGACTTCATCGCGGGATGAGCCAGAAACTATCTGACTGCTCTGAGGATAGTTTTATTAAAGTGACAAATGAGACAATCTTTGGAGATGTAAGACTTGTGCCACACTGGAGTTTCCGAGTCACACTGAACAAAACTATTCCAAAGATTAAGTACATGAAAGGTTCGACGTTTGAACCAATAAGAAGCGCAAGCTTGCCTGTCTCAGTCATTCAGAATGTCTTTAGAGTCAAATCAATGAACAATTAAAATTGCATTCCCTGTGCTCTTCAACAAGTTTGATTTTTTGTTTCTATTAATAAACTTTCAACTGGTATGTTTTTTTTTATTTCGACCAAAAAAACCTCCCCGTTTTCTTCTTGGACGTCTGCAACCCTCTGAAATTTTTTTTTTGTTTTGGAGCACAAATGGATCCACTTTGCGATCAAACCGGCTTCCCGGAACCAGCCTACCCCACAAGAACAGAATTATGGTCTGGCAGCCAATAATGCGAACTTGTAAAGTAACAATTTCATAACTAAACATGGTCTAATTTTTGCGGTCGTTGTCTTATTACTTGTGAATTACTTTTGTATTGCTAGAAAAAAAGCAATTTAGAAAAGGAATCCATTTTACAGATAAAACTCAAAAATACCAGGGAGAATGCAACTATAATACACAAAGTCCATCTGTCTGAAAGCAAATTCATTGAGGTCCACCTGGGTTGCTCCTTCTACACCGCGTTCCCACTTGAATTGGGAAAAGGTGGATCAAGATCCGGCATTTTGGTGTGATCGTTATCTTACCGCAACGAAACTGCAAGTCGCGTTCCCACTTATGCTTGATCCACCTTTTCGAACGGAAATGTCGAGTTTGAAAGGTCACTGAGTTCGGAATTATGCGCGCTCTGTGGGAGTGCCAGTGTTGCATGCTTGGCCAGGACGGGTCAGTTTTTAAACAGCGCTGTCAGAATTCACCGACAAAAATTACGCGAATTCACCGACATAAATCACGGATTTGCGGTGACCTACTTTGCTAGCCCGTAGTCCTGGTCCAGAGGTGGATCAGAAAAGGTGGATCTGATCCTGATCCACCTTATAACGGTTAGCGTTCCCACTACACACAATTGCCGGATCTGATCCACCAATTGGGGGATCTGATCCGGCAATTTGGCAAAAGGTGGATCAGATCCCCCAATTGGTGGATCAAGTGGGAACGGGGCCCTACTTCTTGATATGATGCAACTGGAATTGCCAGACTGTAAAGGCCTTTTCACACTTGACAAATCTCAGGGTTGACACAGGTTTAAAAAATGTGGCGTTGCACACTTTTCAACCCCCCGTCAACCCCACGTCAACCTGATTGATATTGCCCTGGGGTGAACTCAACCCTGCTCCAGACCAGGGTTGAGATTTTCAACCCGGGTTGAAAGTCTCGTCAGGGTATTAAACAGTAATAACCGAGCAAAATAAGCTAAGTTTGCATGAAACAAGTGGGAAACAATGCAGGTTGAACGCGGGGTTGAAAAATAAAAAACTCAACCCGGGCAGCACTGGGTTCACTCAGGGTAGAGTTTAACCCGGGTTGAGAGGCTCTAGTGTGAAAAGGCCTTAGTGGGTATTGGGAACTAACCTTAGCACCAATCACATGGGAAGCCAGGTCCACTGATGCCAAGCCCACACCACGGCAGCTGCAGTCACTAGAACAGTCTCACTGGCAAGAAGATAAGTACAGTCATGACAGTGATAAAGACAGGCATGCGTAGCACTTGTAACAAAGGTCAAACCCATTACTATTGCTATTAGTGTGACGTCAGTTCAGTTTAAACCACACCCACTGGCCATTAAGTAGAAATGGAACCATTGGAACCGGCGACTGATGCAGTGTTTATCCAATGGGCGCTAATAATCAGTGGTGCGCGTGCGTATGACGTTTTTACTAATGACCCGGATATCATCTCAGCTCCCTGGAAAGGAAGTGTGCTGCTCGATGCAGCCAATATTTCGGTGCAAACTGCTACTACAACCATCTCTTCCATCACAAGTAAACATTTTATTCTTGGGTGGGGAGAAGTAATTATAAAGGCAAAGTGTCTTGCCCAAGGACACACACATCACATTCCCTACAGGCCTAGCTGGACTTAAAACCTGAGGGGCACGTGTGGTCTAGCAGTAGGGCACAGGATTCATGATCGTGAGATTGTGGGTTCGAGCCCCGCCGTGGCCATGCGTGTTGTGCCCTTGAGTAAGGCGAAACTACCCACAAAAATTTGAATTCGATACTCCAGACCACAAGACTTTATATCCACTATATTTTTGGCATTCGTATACAGAAAAAAATAATCATCAGAGCCAACGGCCGAGTTCTGGCCCTCAATTTTTATTGGGGGTGGGGGGGGGGGGGGTGGGAGGGTTTTGAGGAAAGCTAAAAAAAAAATTGGAAAACCTAAAAAGGACTTTGGGAAGAGCTGATGTTTGCAATATAAGACTTATATTGGAGGGGAGGGGGGGGGGTGGCAATGGTGGCAACATTTGAACTCTATCTATGCCAGATGTGGAGGTCTGTGAAAGCCTATGTCTTTGATGAGTAAAGTTTCTGATTTTTTTCTAAAGGTTTGGGGGGTGGGGGGGGGAAAGATAAACCGAACTACAGAGAGATTAAATTGCCTGCTTACAAAATAAGATATACTCTGACTGCAACTCTTGCCTTTTTAGATGGACTAGTCATGGTACATGTATAATGAACGTTAGTCCAGCTGTGGTCGTCCTTGACCACACTTACTCACGATGTATCTTTAACGACTAGCTTACCCAGGCTGGGTGTTGGCCCGTCGGGTCAGCCCCATCCACGCCGTGCCGTAAGACACGGGCAGAGCTGCAGCCTCCTCGTAACCCATGGAGTCTGGGATTTGAAACAAATCCTGTCAGGCACACACAAAAAAAGACCACAATCAGTCATGTGAGGTGTGTGTATTGCCTACTCAAAATGGGCTCCGTGCACAAGTACCCCCTCAACGGTAAAAAAGGAGAGTTGGGGGAGACCACTGGGGGAGACATTTGAGAGCATTGCTGAAGACGTGTGATGTTCACGCAAAGATGCTATGGCTTTGTGCACATTCAGAATAAATTATTGTTTGTACTTTGCGCAATACGCACGCGAAACAGTATGTGCAAGTAGCATGTCCCATCCATAAGGCTCTCGAACAGTAAAAAAGCGCACCCTGTTGTTCGCGCATGGAGCCCACAGCCTAGTCTAAGTATCACCCGTTATCCACGGAGCAAACTCCTGTATAATATCTTAAAATTAATGTGGCCTGACGTTGCGAACTTAGCAAGTTCTTCTTCAGAGGGCTAAAACAGAAATGACAGAGATACATACATTAACATGGGGGTGCAATTGTGTAAGTTTCATTGTGTTTTGTTTTGTTCCTTCTTTGGATCGTTTTATATCATGTACTAATCAAACTGTTCTCTCCACACTACAGGTACCTACAATTTTGTTTTGCTCTGTCCCTTCAAAAGGCATGAGCAACTCCATTTGACTTGTACTTTTTGTCTTCGTGTTCCTCCACTGATTTATTGTATTAACCATTTATTCTCTCCCACAGATATGAGTGACACCATTTGCACTTTCCAACAGCTCAGAAAGGCAAAGGAAAAGGCCTTACGCTTTTCCTACCATCAGGATAACTACAGTTTTTACTCCCTCTCTCGATTTATCCCCAAAGGTTTGCAACTGTCTCACACTCCCTGCTTAGGAAACCTCCCACCACACCTTCAAAGGAGATGGAATCAAGTTCTACATGGTGCCTCTATTAAACTCATCAATATTCTCTCTCAGCAGTGTCAATTTACACGTGAGGACCTCCATCAGAATATTTCCCACCTTGACTCCCAACTCAAATCCAGTTGTTCTGACTCCACGTACAGGAATTTCCATGATGAGATTGAAAGGGGTTTGTCTAACCTTGACTCTGTCCTACTCAACAGGAGAAACAAGAAGATTGGTGGCTTGCTTGCCAAGCAACAGCAACGCAGACACAGACGTTTCAGATGTCCTAGGTCCCCATCTACCACGCCACCGCCAGAACCCCTGTCAACACTGTAGTTAATCTTTCTTCCTCATCAATATCTGACGCAGAGCACAAACTTCTCTCCAAGGGTCTCAATTTTTGTCCCGCTCCCCGTTCTGTGAACCAGGTTCAGCTCAGCCAAGATCTCACGGAATACTACCGTAGAATCCGCCTGCGTGAGTTTTTCCTGGACAGTGAACCGTGTGAGCCAGAGCCTTTTCGAGTCAAGAGTTCATGGGTACCCCCCAAGAATCGTGTGCCAGCCATAGAGACATACGTTCAAGTTATCAATTCCCAAGTCACTAACCCGGACAACTTCCCCCACAGGACTCATGATAATCTCCCCAGAGAGGAGCGCCTGGCTCTCAACTCCTTGCGCTCTCGCACCGACATCATCATCAAGCCAGCAGATAAAGGTTCAGCTGTGGTCATCATGGATCGTCAGCAGTACATTGATGAGGCCCACCGCCAGTTGGATAATCGCACTAACTATACCCGCCTTGACTCTGACCCCACAGGCACTTTCTGTCAAGATATACAACAGGTACTTGACGATATGCGATCACGTGACCAGTTGTCGAAGAAAGCTCACAAATTTCTTTCTCCCTGTGATTGTAGGACTGCCAGATTTTACCTGCTACCCAAGATTCACAAGGCTGGCAACCCCGGTAGACCCATCATCTCCGGTAATGGCTCACCCACGGAACGCATCTCCCTGTTCATTGACAGTTTTCTCAAACCCCTTGTCCCACAGATTTCGTCATACATTCACGACACCCCAGACTTCCTACGCAAGCTTGAAGGAATCAAGGACCAGATTCCCAGCACAGCCATCATTGGGACTTTCGACGTCTCATCTCTGTACACCAACATCCCACATGAGGAGGGAGTTCGTGCTTGCTCCTTGGCTCTGGCCAAGGCAGGACACACGACTCCTCCCATCAGTGATGTTGGCACCCTCATGAGACTTATACTAACGAAGAACAATTTTTCCTTCCTTGGTGAACACTATCTACAGGTACACGGCACTGCAATGGGCACTCGCATGGCCCCGTCGATGGCTTGCCTCTTCATGGGCGACCTCGAAGAACGCATTCTTGCCTCGGCCCCATGTCGCCCTTGGATCTGGTGGAGATATATTGATGATGTTTTCTTCATCTGGACCAAGGATGAGGACAGTCTCTTGACCTTCACTAACCACATCAATTCCTTCCACAGAACCATCAAATTCACATCGAGTTCTCTCGGCTCACCAAACCCACTTTCTGGATGTCACCGTCCGCAAGCAAGGCAACTCACTAACCACTGACCTGTATTCCAAACCCACAGACACCCACCAGTACCTCCACTCCTCCAGCTGTCACCCCAGGCACAGCAAAACTGGCATAGCGTTTAGCCAGGCACTCAGACTCAGAAGAATTTGTTCTAATGATTCCGATTTCTCCCGCCATACACAGATACTGAAGAACAACTTGGTGGCCAGGGGTCACAGCTCTCGCCAAGTTCATCGTGCCATTGCCAGAGCTAAATCTATCCCCAGAAATCAAGCTCTCACGGGAAAGGCCCCTGATGCCATGGCCAAACCCATGATTCCCTTGGTTACCACGTTTCACCCCAATCTCCCTCCCCTCCGCAAAATCACTAATGACAATCATCATATCCTCCATACTTCAGATCGCCTTGCCCGCGCCATCCCCAACGGCCCCACATTGGCTTACAGGCGTCCTCGAAATCTACGGGACTTGATTGTTCGAGCTGAAGTCCCATCCTTAGATGCATCCCCTCCCACCCAGCATGGTACTTTCAAGTGCAGTTCCAGATGTGTTGTCTGCCAGATTCATATCCAGGAGTCTGACTCCTTTTCTGGCCACTCTTCTGTCACTACCCACAGAACCATTGGTAACATCACTTGTAACACCTCTAATGTCATATATCTCATTTCTTGCAGGGTCTGTGGAGTGCAGTATGTAGGTGAGACTAAGAATACGCTCAAGAAGCGTTTCTATGCCCATCGTCAACGGTCAACACCAAGAAACTAGACACCCCTGTTGGTCATCACTTCAACCTGCCTAACCACTCCATTTCTGATATGATTTTGCAGGGCATTGAATCTCTTGGCCATCGCAAAGAGTCAGTTCGCCTCAGCAGAGAGAAGGTGTGGATGAATCGTCTTCGAACTATTCAACCACATGGTCTCAACATCCAACTTGGAAATGATTAATCCTTTTCTTCCTCCATTGTCCTCTGTTACAGATAATCCATCTGGTCTTCCTTGTTTGTGTTAACACATCTCCCACCATCTTTCATCCCTTTCCACCTCTATACTGTCCCCCCCCCCCCCCCCCCCCCCCCGCATCATCCCTTCACTCTCACACTCTTTTGTCCGTTCCCACTCCCTGTGACCTTTGATCCTTCCCCTTTCTGGTCCCTCCCCTGTTTACACCAGACCCCTTGTGGTTTGCCATCTCCCTTTGTTTCTTTGTTCTCTCATCCACCCTCCCCTGCATCTTTCCACACCTTCCCTCCTAATCCTCCTTTTGTGTTTCTTCTTTCAGCCCTGCATGTTTGTGTGCACCCCCATGTTAATGTATGTATCTCTGTCATTTCTGTTTTAGCCCTCTGAAGAAGAACTTGCTAAGTTCGCAACGTCAGGCCACATTAATTTTAAGATTTATATATTTCAGGTCCATCCAGTCAGTAAGCAGTTTGCAGCAGTTTTACTTTTTTTCCTGTATAATATCTGATATGTCTAGACATACATGTATATGCAAGCCGAGCGCCAGCCAATTGGAGTTGAGTTTACTAAATCGTGAAGTCATTTCATTCCTAAATTTGGACTAAATAGTTTGATTGGTCAATTCGAATGCAGTGTTTTGTAATGCAACAACAGCCGGGCGCATTACTGCATAACATGATACAGAGCGCGTGACGCAGGTTTTTTTAATCCATTGTCTATGACGCGCAACGGGTGAATGACCGAAGACCCGATATAGAAAGCGCCCGCTGATTGGTAAAAATGTAGGAAGTCAAGAGGCGGGGTCTTGCATAATTAATCAGCAAATCTGCTCACATATCATAGACCCATGACATTCGCCATGGGTCTATTACATAGACTACCCACAGCCTCGTTGGTTCACACATGTTCGGGGTTGCATTAAAAAAATATATCGGTACTTTTTGTGTCCATTCGCTATAATGAGCACCGTTGTAAATACGTTATCACACCATCGCACGCCATCCAGCCACGAGTCAACCTCGAGAATTCTATCAAGCAGTTCTATCAAATATACAAGAATATCTTCCTTTTGGGGGGGGGGGGGGGTTGGTGGAGGAGATATTGCTACAGGAAAAGTAGCAACAAAACAAGACAACCAAGGAGACACAGATACAATCTCACCATATCATAAATGAGCAAAATATAAAGTCTAAGAGTATTTTTTCCCCAGGTGTTTTTCAAGACAGATTTTGTATAAATTAAATATTTCAATAGTGACTTCAGCAAGATAACTCACATCTTCATAAGCCACGCATTCTTCAGAAAAGCCAGATCCCATGGCTAAACATCCCGCCACACGATCTCCCTGAAAAAAAAACACACACAACAAATACATGAAAGGAGACTAGTTCATGTTAACAGCTAAATGATATCAAAACTCAAGTGGCGCTCAAAGAGTGTCCTCTGCAAAGGCAATGTGTTTTGAGAAAGAATGATTGAAACTACGTTAATATATACACATGTACCTGAGGCAGTTTTCCCATTCTTACTGGTCAAGAGCCTGTCACATATGTGGTTTCAAACTGCTGGTAAACACCGCTGCATTCTGCGCCACAATGCGCAGTACACGTCACTTTTCGCCAATCTCCAGATTAAAGAGATTTCTAGCACTACATGTGCGAGGCACATGCTATAGACATGGCCAGGCGTGTTTCATGAAACATGAAGTAAAATTGTTGAACAAAATCATTGGAATTTTGTCATTTTTTTGACTTTGACTTTTTGACAGAAAAAGTATTTATGAATGGGAATAAATAAGTGCCTGGCCGGTATTAAACAAGTATGTTTAAACCGGCAAGGGGCCTGGATGCAGATAATGACCCTTGCCTTCGACTTGGCATACCGATATTACCTGCGTGCAGGCCTCAGGCAATTTCTAAATGTACTAAAAAACTGGCCAAGCACATATTTATGGGCCTTATTTACGAGTCGGCCATTTTGAATTGAAAGTGAAATAAAGTCTTAATTTTTGGAACTTGTGAAGAGAAATGAAAGTGAGTTAGTTTCTAGTTAATTCCAGTCTGCTTCAACGAATAATTTAAAATGTGTAATTATACATTCTCTAATGTTTAAAGCCGGATTGAAAAAAAATGACAGTAAAATAAGGCTGCATTGTGCCTGCATAAATAGTCTGGCATCATCCCATTCAACAGTTAACAATTAATGAAATGCATTCAGGGAACTCGACAAAAATGGCTAAGACCCATTCCCTTATAATACAGCAACATGTAAGAATTGAAAGGCTTCAAATTTGATTGGTCATCAATATTCGCACCTTCTTGACGGCAGTCACACCCTCACCTACTTCTAGGACCTCTCCTGCAACTTCATTTCCTGAACAGACAACGAATATAACAGCATAATCACTTGGAGGGGGGGGGGGGGGGGGGGGGGGGGAAGGGGCAGCTGAGAAGCTGAATTGCAAAGGACCCGGCTACAACGTGGTTGAGCCAAAGGCATGTAAAGGTGCCTTAGGCAGCTGCCATACGACCCATGTCTGACCACGGAGCTCAGCCTGAGATCCAAATTGTTTGATTTTTGCGGAGGGTGCAAAACCAGAGAGCCTGGAGAAAAAGCCTTGTGGCACAGGAGAGAATCAACGAACAACTGTAATCACACGTGGGCTGAGCTGTGGGCCACAGTGGTGAGGGGCGAGCGCTTTACGCACAGCCAACTATGCCACCATGCTCTTCCAACTTCCCAAAACACTCACAAGTATGTACCAGGACTACTTAATTTTTGAGTAAATGGTTAATTAATTTAAAAAGACTGAATTATGGAAATATCTGCAATTGATGATCGTTCTGACAGTCTTTACATTCCATTTTTGTTTGCTACTTTCAAAGGTGAATGTGATTGCAAGAGAGTAGCCAAGTAATCTGAACAAGGCCCGAGATACATGAACATACAAAACAAACAGATACATGTAAGAGATCTGTAGCCATGATACGATGTTTGTAAAAATAAATATAAGACTGAGGAATTTTAAGCGAAAATTTCTACAGGGTGAGTAAAAAAAAATGCATCCCAAATGGCATGACCACTTTTTGAAAGAGGTTTTGCCTGTAGCACTTCCAAAATCTTAGATATGAAAGCCCAGTCATTAAGCTTTCATTCAGTACAAGAATCATTCAAATCACGCATGTACTTGTCAAGTTTCGGTATTTTGAACACAAACACCGTTTTAAAGTTCATTCCACGGATCACTAAACTAGAAAAGTAAGTGTTCTTTCAACGAAACAGGGATGCATGTGAATTGCTTTCATTTTGCTGAAAGAACACGTACCTTTTTTTGTGATCCGTGGAATGAACTTTAAATGAACTTTTGTTTGTGTTCAAAAATGCTGTAACTTGAAAAGTACATGAATGATTTGAATGATTTTTGTACGAAAAGAAAGCTCATTGATTGGGTTTTCTTATCCTAGATATTGAAAGTGCTACAGGCAAAACTTCATTCAAAAATTGGTCCTGCCATTTGGGATGCATTTTTTTTTTACTCACCCTGTATAGTCAGTGGCTTGGCCCTGACTAAAATGATTTATATGGCCATACATGTATTTTGATTTATGTGGAGAGATCTTATGAATACAGATAAGGTTTGAGCTGTTACTTTGTGAGTTAAAAACAAACATACAAACAAAGAGAAGTTGCAGAGAACTGCAGCTGTCTTTGCTACACAGAGACTTAAAGCTACAGTCCATCATTTGTAATTTGTGCATTTTGTTCGTTTGAAGCAACAAAAGAGCTCAAAATCTAATGAAGGATACTGAACGACTAACCTGATGAAGTTTCAGCTAAGCTTCAGCTGTACATTCCGAGAAAAACAGCATTCTAAGATCTCAATTTCAAATCAAAAGTTACTGAATCATGTTTTGAATTGTTTTGAATTGCAGATCCGACGAATTATAACAACCGCGTGCGCGTGTGCGTCGTTCCAATACTTGTGCGCGCTGCGCTGAATAACAAAACGAACTACTAATTTAAATTTTCCTACGGTGCTTCTTAAGAATCACCGTTGGAAATGCCTTCTTTCGTTGATTACTTCAAAATGACAGCTTGCCAGAAAGAATAATTTCACAGGGAGTTTAGTTCCCTTACTATCTTTCAACCAAGTTTGTTTTTCAACAATAATTACGCCAGTTACTTTTCGGATGGCTGCAAATGATGGACTATAGCTTTAAGCTGGTCTACGGAAATTCTCTTTCATTTGTTTCCTAGGACAAAACACTATACTAAACCTGAAACTAAATCTTAATGCTAGGATCGAGTAATTCTTTGTTTGATTGAGAGTTTTGGATCAACTACTGACCTGGTGTGAATGGTAGCGGTGGCTTGACTTGGTATTGACCGGCCACTGTCAGAATGTCCGAGAAATTGACCCCACAAGTATGGATGGCCACGCGCACCTTTAGAAAGATTAACATTATAACAAATTTATAGTGTTGTAACCAAGTAATTTTTTTCCCGAGTCAAGTCAAGTTATAAGATTGAATTTTGCGTCGGGGTGATATAAATCAAAGTAGGTTTTGTGCCCTGCACCGACGGTGCAGGGCAAAACGGTTTAAGTTTAAGTTTAAACGTGGCGCACTTCGAAGCTTACCCAACTTTCTTCGTTTTAGTTTAAGCGGTACCCGCTGCTATGTACATCAGATTCGAACCAGCCAACCAATCCCGTTAGCTCGGTGGTCGAGTGGTAAGACATCTGCACTAGAAAGCAGGAGGTCGTGGGTTCGAGTCCCACCCGAGTGATTTTTTCCAACTTTCACTCGGGAGGTAACACACAGAGTATACATGTACAGTGTTTAAACGTCGGTGCAGGGCAAAACCTAATTTGATTTATATCACCCCGACGCAAAATTCAATCTTATAATAGTTTACGCGGTACCCGCTGCTATGTACATCAGATTCGAACCAGCCAACCGATCCCGTTAGCTCGGTGGTCGAGTGGTAAGAAATCTGCACTAGAAAGCAGGAGGTCGTGGGTTCGAGTCCCACCCGAGTGATTTTTTCCAACTTTCACTCGGGAGGTAACACACTGAGTACACAGTGTTTAAACGTCGGTGCAAGGCAAAACCTAATTTGATCAAGTCAAGTTGCACATCAATATTTCCCGAGACACAGGAAGGTCCAGTCAAGTCACAAGACTCAAGTAAGTCACAATCCTCAAGTCAATTTTTTCAAGAGATGATGATGCTCTCTCCATGCTTCTATACACTGATCAGTAATGTGCAGCATGGCAATTATGTGGTGCCTTGTAACCCGACTGTAGCCAACTACACTGTTCTCCATAGCATAAGCCGTACCAGGCATGCACCACACAAATACCACCTCGACAATCCCTGTATATAGTCGTGTTCCCTAACGTGGCACACTTCGAAGCTTACCCAACTTTCCTCGTGTAGTGTTGCCAAACCTCTTTGTTGACAAACCTCAAATTCATGCAGTAAAATACTAGTACTTTTACTTTATTAATGCTTGCTATTTAACCTCTGTGAACAATTTCCGTTTCGTAAAATTAAATCTGAAATTCAAAAACGGTGGCGTCCGGAAATTGGGCACAAATCGGCGGAGTGTTCCCTAACATGGCGCACTTGAACAAATCTCGGAAAATTCCAAATTAACATTTACGAATTTCTGTAAACTTGATAAATTCTGATAAATAATTATTATATCTACTTACATACCCATACCAGATGTTTGTCAGAAAATTATTTTCTTATTTTTCGGGGCATTTTCAAAGGGTTCACTCTGCACTTGAAAATAAAATTGGAAAATCACGCCAAAATAAATTTTTCTTCTAACTTTGTTGCGGGTAAATAAATTCGCGATTTATGAACAGGAGTGTTTAGAACTTGATGAAATTTCACTTTCTGTGAAATTTCAGTTAAAACTTTTGCTCTAGGTGGGTGCTACAGGTGAAAAATCAAAGTGCGCCACGTTGGGGGCCACGCCACGTTAGGGTACATCAACAATACAGAAACGTGCCGGATGCCTAGGTCGCCGTATGTACATATCCTTGGCTTTCTGTTCAACCAATTTTTGTGTATGCCCGTGTTTATTTTAACAAAAGTATTAATGTCAGCAAGTCAAACTTATGCTTCAAGTCAACACAAGTCGCAAGTCATGTTTTTTCAAGTCAAGTCCCAAGTAAATAAAAACAGCGACTCAAGTCAGACTTGAGCAGAGTTGTAACGAGTCCCAGTTTTTTTGTGACTCGAGTCGAGTCGAGTCATTTTAAAGAAGTGACTTGAGTCGAGTCGAGTCATTTTAAAGAAGTGACTCGAGTCGATCGAGTCGAGTCATTAGGTCAAAAGGTCGAGTCGAGTCGCGTCGAGTCAAATATTTAGCTCGAGTCAATTCGAGTCACGAATATTTGAACACTTTACCAAAATTTATAAAAGGAGGCCATAAGTTTAGCCAGCGTTCGAATCCAAGAGCTTAATGAGAAATCGCCCAAAACCAATGATGAAACAGCGAATTAGAAAATGTGTTTAAAAATCTGGTTCCTGGATAGTATTTTGTGCGTTCTAGAACCATGAGGTGGGAGTCTGTGACACGTTGTATATTTGTACATGACTACTATTCGCAAAGTGAAGTGAGCATAAATTTTGCACCGTAAGTCATTGCAAATACTTTTCGCAAAGTTGTGCTTTTATTTTTGGAACTCGAGTCTTATTAGCCTTCACTCGAGTCGAGTCGAGTCTTCTGATGAGGGACTCGATTCGAGTCGAGTCATTAGCTCGCAGTGACTCGAGTCGAGTCATTTACCCTTAGGGACTCGAGTAGAGTTGAGTCACCAAAAATTGTGACTCGAGTCGGACTTGAGTTGAGTCATTGACTTGAGTCATCACAATTCTGGACATGAGTCCAAGTCAGTGGCTCGAGTCAACGACACTGCAAATTTACATGTTGATGTAAATCGAGGCAACACACAGATTACTAATGTTGTAATTTACTTAGGATTTCACTTGACAGTGAAAAGTGATTTCAATTGAATTTAACTTGTGATTCAACTCAAGACTTCAATTGTGATTATTATTGTTAATTAATACATGTACAACTCTGTCCGTTATCTAAAACCTGCACATCTCCGTACAATTTACCCACCTGTCCATCTGATAGGCTGTCGATACTCGGTACCTGGCTGATGGTCAGGGGTTTCCCCAATTCATTACACACTGCCGCCCTGTGGGTATGTCGGACGCCAGCTACATTGCGAAGACCAATGGTGCTACTTGTAAGTAGAGGAGCTCCGCAAACGGTCTTGCCTCTGCAAACAAATCAATAAAAAGGTACTAAATACAAAATTCAACTTGTCACCAACAAAGTTCCAAGGTGCTTGTTTTTGGCCATTAAAGCTGAGACATTAAAATGTGTGGTTTTTTGTTTGTTTTTTTAAAATATGTGGTTCCACTTATGCGCAGAAGAACAATTAGTCATTTATACGAAGATCAACCATTTATATTTCAGTTGGATATTGTGGTTTCCTTGGTCACAATGTTTCACAGCTGGGTTTCTAAAGAAAGCACTTTTTAAAAATCTTTTAATTGTAAAATATAAATCTGTGCTCTTCAACTTGTGATGTCAAATTCATCAAAAAAAATAAATATAGCCATCTCTACCTCCACATTAACAAAGCTACATAACGTGTGATAGGTTATTAGGATAAAGCCTGCTGGTATCAAGGGTTATCGCAGATTTAATTTATTTCTTGCATAGCAAGTTACAACCATTTATCGTTTTGACTTACTGACATGATATTCAATGTAATCAAACATTAGTTGACTGCTGTGATGTGGGATATGCCGTATTTAAAGCTATAGTCCATCATTTGCAGCCATCCGAAAAGTAACTGGCGTAATTACTGTTGAAAAACATACTTGGTTGAAAGATAGTAAGGGAACTAAACTCCCTGTGAAATTATTCTTTCTGGGAAGCTGTCATTTTGAAGTAATCAACGAAAGAAGGCATTTCCAACGGTGATTCTTAAGAAGCACCGTTGAAAAATTAAAATTAGTAGTTCGTTTTGTTATTCAGCGCAGCGCGCACAAGTATTGGAACAACGCACACGCGCGCGCGGTTGCTATAATTCGTCGGATCAATGCGCGACGCCGCGTATGGCTGCAATTCAAAACAATTCAAAACATGATTCAGTAACTTTTGATTTGAAATTGAGATCTTAGAATGCTGTTTTTCTCAGAATGTACAGCTGAAGCTTAGCTGAAACTTCATCAGGTTAGTTGCTCAGTATCCTTCATTAGATTTTGAACACTTTTGTTGCTTCAAACGAACAAAATGCACTAATTACAAATGATGGACTATAGCTTTAACCACCTTGGGGTGAGTAGCACCCTTGATTTCGCCAATGGGTGTATATATGTACTGCACAGTATAATGTACACTGTACATACATGTACATGGGTTTGTCTATGTTGTAAATCGAGGACACACATGTGAAACATCCTTGTGCAATTGAGGACAGGAGTCAAATTGAAGATGTCCTCGATTAGAAAATGTGTACAAAACCATTGGGAGCTGATGTTGCAAAAAAGTTAAGAGTATGCGCCCCTTGGGTGTTAAAACTGGCATATCCCACATCACAGCAGTCAACGATTCTTAACTGGGCACAAAACCTTTTGATCTTATTGATCACTTTTGTTTAATTTACTAGCAGCTTTGCTGTTGCTAGGCTTGAGCAGTGTGCCTATACATGTACTAGCGATTTCATAGAAAGCCACGTTAATGCTTTTCAGGGTCAACCCTTTTCTGATAAATGGATCATATAACAGTACCAGTACATGTCACAAAGGGAATTTCCCATATCAGTTCCGAATTCAGCTTTTGTGTGTCGTGAAGAAGTGTTGCAATATTAGATTGGGGAATTTTTTTACACACAAAAAGTCAAAATGGACAGAGTCAAATCGAGGACGTCTCGATAAGAAAATGTGTACAAAACCAGCTGTTGCAAAAAAGTTTGAGTATGAACAAACGATCGATGATGAGGAACAATAGTAAATCCTCAATTTACACCGTAAACAAACGTGTGTGTACATGTCTTAGACCCCCCAACCAGATTATTATTATTGCTTAAAAAGATAAAACAGAAATCAGAAGTTGTTTCTTTTTAACAAAAATAATCTCTGAATATCATTGTTACTTGAAAAATCACACATCGAAACGGAAAATAAAGTTTAACCGTAACTCCCCACTGTCTTTTACAAAGTACTTTGGACCAATTCCGCCAAAATCCATCAATCACACTGCTTCCAATGCATGCTTTGCTTTAGGCCTCCAGGCCCAAATCCATCATACTCCATCAATATTAAGTCAAACTAGGCCTGCAGGACCAAGTCCCACAGAATCCACCAAAACGGGGGGATGGATTTTGATGAAGATGGTGAGGATAGGGTTAACATAAAAACATGTACATCATCTAATAAATACTTCTGAATTTCAGATGCTGTATTTTTAAAAACATTTTGATACGTGCATGCTGCACCAATATAAATTGGGATTGGAATCTTACCACAGTTCAAATAAAACAATGCCTTAAAAAAAGGTGACTTTTTTCATTCAGTGTGTTCAGAGCTCATACACAAAATGAGCTTAAACCTTTAAGTCGGAAATTACCATTTTACAGCACTTAGTTTGGGACAAAGCCAAAATTAGAAGAGGTGGTCAATTTTTTTGTGTGTTTGTGTTTTTTGGTTCCATGTGAACCTTGATCCGTTAGTCCTCTTTTACCTTTCTCCAATTTGTTTTGGTTCTGTCAAACATCTTTAAAATCTATTTTCACCCCATTTTACATGCATTAGTTGACTGTTCATTCACTGTAGCACAACTGCAGGCAGTTTAAATGCCATTTTCTCAAGAATCAGTTTTACAATTACAACTTCAAGTAAACTTGTCGGTGGTCTATTCCGTTGCTGAACACAGCACCCCCTAAACGTTGTATACCATTAGATAGCTCTTGTTCTGCAGAATCCAAATAACTAAATAGTTCTCAATTCTTGCAAACTCTGACTTTAAACTCATTTTGCGGTGACAGGTCACATATGATTCACGGCAAAGGAATCCCATTGCACCATAAATCAACCACAAAATATCAAAAGTGTAAAACCCCTCAAGTAAAAAAAAAATCAATAAGAGAACTCACTGCATAATGTTTGTGACCTGTATTTGTTATCCAAATCAGATCCTGTTCACAATTTCACACCCCCCTCCAAAAAATAGGTCTGAACGTATTTCCTAAATGCAAACAAGGAGCAATGGGCCAAGGGGAAACCCCCATACAACAATGGGACACATCGATGCCCAAACAAAATACAATGCACCTATTCAATACCACAGTACCACACACCGTCACAGACAGCACAGATAAATATCCATGACTAAGGGCAAAAAGCATTGTTTTATTACGTAGCATTGCATATTAGCTGCGTCCACCGGACACAAACGGCCCACATGATCAAAAAAAATCTGTTCCAAAGTACCAGTACACAAGTGGGGACAACCAAACGTTATTCAGCACCTGAACTTGGCCGAAACAAGAAGTGGAAGTGCGGCCTTCTAAAAAACCAAATGAGGAAGTCAGACAGCCAAAAAATCGTTCTCGGTAATTTGGAGAACGGAACTCAAGCACAGCGAAACTAAAACAAGACTATCGATTTGCCAAATCCGGACATGAGGTTTCTACAATGGTCGCATTGAGCATGCGGCGGGCTATGAGCAGGGCGTTCTCCACGCCCATCAAGCTTCTGAGGCGGCTGTCCTCGTCATCTTCGGATCGGTACTCGTTCGCCTCGTCCACATTTTACCTCGGAGATGATGAGGAGGAAAACAGTGAGGACAATTTAGAGACAGGTGAGAAAAACACTTTGCTGTTGTACATTTTGGATTGGTGTGGCATTTAAAAAAGCACAAAAACAGACGGGTGGTTCTATAAATTAGGGGTTGTCCACTTGTTTTCTGTCCTTGTTACACCTGACATGTAAGTTGTACAGTCCGGCTGCACTCTTTCATGCCTAATTGTTTCCGAGAGTGATTTTGTAAAAGCAAACTATCTATCCAACAAGTAAACAATAACATTTTGAAGTCATTTTAAATTATGCTTGAAGATAAGAGGTAACAGGGGCAGAAAAATGTCACAGTTTGGATCCTTAATTTATAGACTGATCAATAGGTATTTTGACAAATTCCAATGACAACTAATAAATTATAAGTTTCCAGTATATATGACTGTGTACATTAGGCCCAAAAAAAAAAAAAAAAAAGTTCTGCTTCCGATTACATGGCATTTGAAAATAGGGTAGGTAGGTACAGAATTTTTTGGGGGCCAATTTTTTTTATGTACGATCATATGGAGGGGTCTGCGTGTAGACAAGGGTAAAAGGTAGAAATTGATGGTTTTGGGATTTTTTTTCCCCTCACTTTTCCAATAAAACAGTTAGGGTAGGGGCTGTCAGAATAGGGTAGGTAGGGAAACCGAAAGCAGAACTATTTTTTGTTTTTTTTTGCCTCAGCTGAAAATGTAATAGACAAAGACTATCATTGTTTTCCCTATCTCTTTTTATAGCCAGTTGTCACTTTTCCTAAAGGACAGCCTGCTAAGTGTAATACGACTGTTAATTCTAATGGATAAGATTTGAAGGTTTGCAGGGTGAAGTTTAATAGCAATAAGATAAAGATTTACGGAAGTACCATGTGACAAATCACTTTTGTGAGTTTGTGAGGTTGGGACCCAGCGTTTCAGAGAGAGTATGCTCTGCCCATCATCAGAGCTACATGTGCAAACTGGAATGAACTTTCTATAAAAGTGGACAAAAATATTGCAGTAATTCTAGGGTATAAAACTGTTAGGTCATTGTTACTTCTGGCTTTCACTTGCTGCTTGGTACAATACTTTAAAAACACGGGATCATAATAATTCGAAGTGATTTTCCAAGAACAGGAATCCTTAAGCAGGGCTTTAGAAAATCAAAGAAAATATCTTGAGAATTAACCCCCAAAAATTAAGGTTATGAAAATTTCAATCAATCTAGTTTATTTCATAACTTCATAATGAAAACATATAAAATACGTAACTTAATAGATAAACAAAACATAAAAGTAAATGACAAAGATAAGTAACAAAGATAAATGAAAAGCAGAGAAGTTATAAGGAAGAAAATGCAATCTTTATCAATGAACCTTGTTAGAATTCAACCACACACACATATACTGGAATTTGTATCCTTGTGGAATCATTTCTTTGTTCTCGTGTACTAAAGT